TATTAATTTAACAATTACAAAATTATTAATATTTTTTGTATAAAAAAATATTTTTGTAGTTGTGACATTGAAAAGTTACAAAATTTTTCATTTATTCTATTTTTACTGTGGTTTTTTTTAACAATATTGTAAATGATCATTTTCCGCTTTTCTTCAATGTTTTTCTCAAAATTTTCTAATTTTTTTTTCAATTTTTTTGAAAAATATTTTTTGACAAAACAATATTTCTTGTTTTACTTTAATAATTTTTGCAATTGCATTTTCTTATATAAGTAGGTGTATTTTTATTATATTTTATGTGCTCTTATATCGAAATGAGAAGGTTTAAAGTTTTTGATTTATTTCTTCTTAATGGTGAATAAAATAAATGAAATGGTGAAGAGAAGAGATTTCAATTATTGGTTAGATTAATTTCCTTCTTTTTCAATTTGAATTCATAAAACTCTAATTTATTTGGAAAAAAATGAAATTTTTGAAATTAGTTAATTGAAAATTTAAATTGAGCTTGTGTTTATATTGTAAATGAGAAAATTTTAAGTTCTCAACATAGAAGGCTATTAAAAACATCCTTTTGTGGAAGTATTCATAACTCCTTATACATGAAAGAATTAATTAATTGTGATCTCAGTGTATTTGGTAATAAATAGTTAAAGATTAAACACAACTTGTCTTAGTATATACAAGTTTTACTAAATTTTAGACAAGTTTTAGTAAATTTACAGAATTTATTAACTGAAACTAAAAATTATCCAAATTTTTCGGCCTTAACAGTATTCAGTCTTCTATATACAATTTAATTTCTTCTCAATACTTTTTCAAACCGAAATAGTCAAAAATGAATACCGGACTTGCTAAGCTCGAAAGAATCCGACCCTATTTTAATTATTAAAAATTTTTTATAAAATTTTTAAGGCTTTCGCAATGAATAATCTTTTCATTTTTTGTTGTTTTCGTAATAGATATTTTTGCAGTAAGTTTAACTTTGCATTTCACCTGGTAAAATGACAAATTTTCGTATCTAACTGACTACAGCTATGATTTTTCCAAATTTTCACTTATAAAATTCGCTTAAATTTTCTTATGAAAATCAAATTAGTAGACATACTAATGAAATTGTGTAAATTCCAATACCGTTATGTATAAGTTTCATAAATTTAGTTAAAAGAGGACAATTTGTAAATAAATATATTATTAGACATGATTTACAAAATACTCCAAAGCTCCTCCGACGAACGCTGTTAGGGGCGATTTGTTTTAATTTGCTGCACATGTCATGTTGGCCGTACCGATTTAATTTTTTTTCAAATGAAGAAAAAAATTAATAAAAAATTATTAATTCAAAAGTCAATAATTCTTTGCAATGTACTGTTGGGTAGTCTGACGCTTCTTCTCCCTTGTGCCTTCGTCGCGGTATATTTGGCTTATCTATTCCATTTTTTCTTTCTTATTACTTTTGTAATAGACTCTTGGTGTGTTAAAGCCCAAACGTCTATGTTAGTTATTCGTCTGGTTCAGAATGCTCGATATATAATTTTTGGGCTTTTATTTATGAATATTTCTATTTTGTTTGTGTGTTCATTTATTACTAGCTATGTTCCAGAACCATACAGCAGGCCTAATTTTATACATGCATTGAACATTCTTAATTTTGTATTTTTGAATAAAGTGTGAAGATTTCCAAATGGCCCATAATCTATCAAATACCGCGTTAGAAACGTTCAGTCTATTTTTTATGTTTTCTTTGATCCCCTCCGATTATTTTTATAATAATTACTGAGAATTTCTTATTAAATACCGAAAAACACAACAATTAGTCTTTAAAATTTATATTAAGATTAAAAAAATTATGAAGTTTCCTTAATATTTTCTTCCTTTTATAATTATTATGTGCTCTTTCAATTACTGTACAGCTAATAATAAACTGTTATAAATAATAATAATTAAATGACCTTTAATTAAAAATTAAATAAAAGAATTGTAAACAATTACAATATTAACCTAATTGAAAATATTTTAAATAACTAAATTTTTTAAATATATACATACATATATAAATAGTGTACAAATTACTGTTATGCATAATAAATTTTATAATATAATTGAATTTAATAAAAAAAATGAGAAAATTTTTTAAAAATTCTAATAAAACTGATGAAATTAATTTCAATAAAAGTATAACTTTAAATTATTTAAATGGATGTTGTACAAAAACTGTTGGTATAACTATGGGTACACCTTTAAAAATACCAGTTCAATGGTCAAAAGTATTGCGTTTAGCACCAGGACCAAAAATTACTGCAGAAGAAGTATTTCAGGTTTGTATTTTGAATGTACATATATAGAAGAAGTTCTACTCCTTAAATTTCAAAATTTCACTTAGGTTATAGTATAACAATTAAAATTCTAAATAAAATAACTATTTCTAATAATTAATTTTTAAGATCAAATTTACTATAAATTTGCAATAACTTTTTTATTAATATATTCAAGACTTCAAAATCTCCCATTTCTTATATTTACAAGAATATTTATTTTCTAATTTAAAATTTTAAACTTTATTATTAAAATGTACAAAGAAAAATTAAATCATTAAAGAGATTTAGCTGATTTAGATTTTTTTTAAGTTGATAGAATTTTTATTTCAAATAAATTTCACCTGAACGTGCATATTAAACGGACTCGCAATGCTACATAAGAAGTTTTCATTCACTAACACTTAAGTAAAAATTGTTATACGCTACAATTATATGTGAGTACAATAACAAAATACATGTATACTTAAAATTTAAATCAACTCTTATGGTTAACACTGAACATGCTACTTAAAAATGAAGAACAAAACGAAGCGTCATTAAAGTTGCACTATACAATTACAAAGAATTTTATATCACGACATAATTAATTTTTATATCAAGGTAAAAACACAAATACATACAGTATATTCGGATCAAATCAATTGTTTTGTAAAGTAGCAATTTTCCTGTGAAGGAGATGACTTTTGTAAGCAGATACACAGACGTACAGAGTTAAACGAATCACCACTTTTTCTTTTCAAAATTCTAAAGACTAATTCAGATTGTTCCTCATATCTTCCTATTGATATTAAGAATTCTGAATCCGGTTTACTGAAACGGCATTCATACACACCGTTATTATAAATTAATTAAAACAAATTTTTGTTATACACGATAACTAACTGATTATTAAGCTCGAAAATTTTAAGCTCAACGATTATTTAGCTCAGAGATGCTATATTACGAGTCAAAATTTATACCATTGTTTACGAAATTCTAATAGTTTTCTATCGCTGTACTGACATTCATTTTTAATCCTTTTATCAATCATTTATTAATTTAAGACCTGCAAAACGAAAGGAGCTGTTGCGAAAATTATATTAGTAACAAACTTTTCTGTTGGATAATTTTTACTCCTAGCCATTATTAAAAAATTCCGGAATAATTTGGAAAATTTCAAATTCCCTTCAATGGAGCGCCGGAAATAATCCATTATTAGAATATTTCCAAGTATTTACCTGGAAAATTTAAAGTGCTACAGAACTTTTTTTAAGTTTTTTTTCTTTTATTATGACGAATTCTGTAGTACACTTTAGTTTTTATTAAACAAAATACCGGGATATGCAGGGAATTTAAAAGTAATTTTAAAGAGGATTGCATACGTTCACCACTATATAAATTTTTCAAAAAAAAAAAACATGTGTTAAGAAAATTGAATTAAAGTGTCTTATTCTAAGAATTTTATATAAAATTTTTAAATTCATATCACACAAATTACATTTATATTGCATATATACACACATGTATAACAGTTAGTAATTAAATACTTTACAATATACTTCATTGTTTCTTTAAACAAGTTGAAATTTTTATTTTAAATAACAAGTTTATATTTAATATCCTAGAAGTATAACGTGAATGTGATATAGGAGTGCTGAATATTTACAACTTTTTAAAGTATGTGTGTAAAAATTTCAATTTAAAAATAACATAATTGTGTCATTAATGAAAACCACATGGAATTATAGGAAAAGGATTTAAGAATTAAATTTTGTTAGTATTTGAGTATCAGAAGACAATTATTGTATAGAAATCGCATCATGACAGTATAGGGAGCAATTGCAATATTACAGCATCATCATCCCACATATAAGATTTTCTTAAAAAATTATTTTACTTTCTAGACGTTTCTGTCCAGAAACGTTCCGGCTTTACCAATTTATAAGCATTCAATTAATTTACCTTTCTGAAATGTTAGCCAATTTTTCGTTAATATTGAGAAATTCTAGACTATGAACATCTCTATATAGATTATGAACTACGTACTTGTAATTGATAGCAAGAGGGTAAAATTTACTGCTAGCGAAGTCTAAAAATGAGTAAACAATACTACTAAAACCTATCCTCATAATTAAATTAAGCGAAATACAATAAATCCCTATTATCCCCTCGAGAAACTCTATATTGATTATGGGCAAATTAATACTAGTTCATTGCTGAAAGAACACCGTTCTTCTATGTTCCTATTGAAATTAAAGCATCCCTTTCAATTTCAAACAAATGAATTTCAATTAATCTTTGGAAAATTTGTTCTCATTCTTAAATAAATTAAAAATATTAGTAAGTTTTTAAAACAATTTATAAAAATTTTCTACAGCAATGTTAAGAACCTTTAACAAAATTTTAACAAAAATGAATTTAAGTTGGAAAAAATTTTGCTACACACACCAAACTGCAATTCATTTACCCACAAAACTTTGTTAACAAACTTTTTAGATTTCTAGAAAAAAGAAAATTATAAATTTTATTACATACAATCAGACAAATCAGCAAAAATAAAAATATATAAAAATGAATTTCCAACAAATTAGATTTTATACATATGTACATACCTTATGTGTGTTCATGTGTCTGTGCACATACATACAAAATTTATATGAAAAAAAAAATTAAAGTTAATTTCTATTCTTTCTATTTGATTTACAGGCAGCTGAAGCTGGAAACTTAGATGATTTTGTTAGATTATATCGTGGAGATAATACAAAATTATCAATACGTGATGGTAAAGGAAGAACAGCAGCACATCAAGCAGCATCTAGAAATAGAGTTAATATACTAAAATTTATATATGAACAGCAAGGAGGTATAATTGAATTTTATTTATTTATTTAATTTTTTTTTTTTGTAAGAAGTTTTTAGTTATTATTAAATTAAATATACTTACTACATATACTTAAAAATTGAGAAGACACAAATATTGAATTTCATTGAACAAGAGGAATTGTTATACTGTATGTGGAATATGTTCTTTGTAGAAAAAATATATAGAGAATTCCGAAAATTATGTGATTCCCTTAAATAAGTGATAGTAAAACTTCTCTGGAATTATTGCACTCGTACATATTTGAAGGAAGTATACAAACGTATTTATATCTAGAACTAAACTGAAATTCAGAGTCCATTATTCAACAATAATTCCCTCAATTCCTAGCATATAATATTGGATACGTTTAGGAGGAGTAATAATTTTCAAAAAATTATGTTATTAGTTATATTAGGCATAATAATTTTCGATAAGGGGGAAATTAATGTTAATTTTTTATATTCATAAAAATTTATTTTCTATATAGGGTAAATTACAGTGGTGAATTGTCATATATCTGCATGTATACAATAGGATTGTATCAAAACAGGTTTAGGGGGCATTTATTCAGTATACTTGTGCATTAAAATATGCCAACTGTAGATCTTTGTTAATAAGAAAACAAAAAAATTTTGTTCAACAATAGACCTCTATCACAACCAGTTCAGGTGTGGGAAGTAAGCCAAAAAACTGAAGGCCAAAAATTTTTGAAAAAAATTGAATCGTATTACAATACTTTTCTAAGGCATGTCTTAAAATAATGACACACCTAACACAGTCAAAGTTATAGCCTATAAAGTCAACCAAAATAAAATTTCTTACCTTTAAGAACTCCTACCTCTTGAATCGGTTGCTACAGCGGCATATTTTTGAACAATATTTTTTTAACTTTGGTTTCAGCTATTATTTTTTAAATTGAAATAAATGTACTTTCTGCGTTTCACAAAGTTTATTTTAAACATAAACAATATGGGGTAGAAAAATAGATGGCCATTTTGCTCTAAACCTAATAAGCAATTATTAACGACGGCTTAACGGTCAGGCGAATTGATAATTTAGCAAGCAAATAGACAGACGAATAAATTGGAGAGGCAAAATAAATTTTTTTTAAATAAATTCTTCTAACACTTTTTGTAAAAGAAAGAGAAAAATTGGATTCTCAGTGTATTAAATAATCCTAATTTTGAATTTTGAGAAGATCGTCAATGAAAAATTATTGCCTTAACGTTAATGAAATTTAATCCTTATAAATTGAGTTTAAAATTATACCCACACCTATATATACCTTAAATGTGAAAAAAATTTATTAATTTTATTGTAAAATATTAAATAAGTTTTTCATGAATTACAAAATAATAATCATTTACGCAGATCTTAACGCACAAGATGGTGCTGGTAACACTCCATTACATGTAGCAGTTGAAAATGATGCTTTAGATGCATTAAATTATCTTCTATCTCTGTAAGTATAACACAATTAAAATATTAATAAAATAATACTTTTGACATTAAAATTTCATTAGTACTTTAATTATACACAATTCAACAATTAACACTTATATAAGCAGTGAATTGTTTGAGGTATAACAGTATTATTGAAATTCTGATGTCAGAAAGTTTAAGAAATTTTTAACATTTAAAAAACTTTATTAATATTTTTCCAATAACATTCTAATTTATCTACATTATCTATGCAGCAACGTAGATACTGGTATATTAAATGAAAAGAAACAGGCTCCAGTTCATTTAGCAACAGAGTTAAATAAAACTAAAGCATTACAAGTAATGGGTAAATATCGTAATATATTTGATATTCAAAAAGGAGGTGAACATGGTCGAACAGCATTACATTTAGCTGCAATTTATGATCATGAAGAATGTGCCAGACTTTTGGTAAAGATTTTCTTTTTTTTTTGTTCTTATTAATTTTGGTTTTTTCTGTTTTCTTCTTTTGATTGTTGCACTCGACTCTCTTTTCTAATTATATTTTGTTATATATACATAAATATATTTGTATAATTCTTAAATGTATGTGTGTGCCAGCTGCCAAGTATATTTTTATAACATTTTTCTTTATGTTAATTAGTTCGTAGTTATATTATTGATTTTCTGTATATTTTAATTTTAATTTTAATTAATTATAATGCACTTTGGTTTTTTTTAGGTATACACCTATACACATTATGTACATCTCATATACTCGTACTTTACTAAAATAACTTAAAAAACAAAAGCATTTTCTTAAGCAATTAAGCTTTGATTCCTGTACAAATTTTTACTACTGGAACATAAACCACAGTAGAATCTTTCCGAATTTTTCTTTAACTTTCATGTAAAATCTATTTTGGAATTTATCCTATCACAAGCTTAAAAAATTCAGAGACCTGAAAATGGGCCGAATCCATTTTATAATTTTATAAAAACTTTAACATTTTGTAGCCCCATTAAATTTCATAACTATAATTTTTTTTGAAGACTTTAAATAAAAAACGTCTTGGACGACGCTCGAATTTTTATCCTTTTAATTAAATAGGGCTAAAAAGTTATTTTAGTTACTTTATTTTGAACGGCAATTTGCTCCGTTAGGCAATAACTACTATCTTTTAATATTTGTCTTGTTAATATGATATATATACATCCGTACTATGGCCGTTATTAAAATTTTTATTCATTTTCCTCTTGATTTCCTCAATAAAAATTCCTGAAAATAAGCGTTTTTTTGATAAGGTAGGGTTACGGTTAAAAATTATGAAAAATTCGGTTTTTGCGATGACGTGGAGTTACAGTCAAATATTATGAAAAAACTCCGTTTTCCCAGTAAGGTAGGGCTATCATCAAAATTATGAAAAAATTCGGTTTTCTCGGTTAAGTAGGGTTACAGTCAAAAATTATGAAAAATTCAGTTTTTCCAATAAAGTATTTTGACCGTATCTCGGAAATTCAGGAAATTTCGTTTTTTTTTCTTTTTATGCTTTTATAGTTACAAAAGGTACCTTTTCCTCCAAACTAAACATAAGCAGTGCTTATATCTAGGTAGAAAAGTTCAATAGAACTCCTATAGAATTTTTCGCAGAAAATAGGGAGGACAAAGTTAATTTTACATTTCATTTAACAAATTTTCAGAAAACGTGCCCATATAAGTCGATCATGTGCTGTTAACATCAGTCTTTTCTATATTAACTCCATCATATTTATTTTCACCTGTGATTTACGTTTATAAAATGATTTTATTGAATTACACTGCATAAAATTTCGTAAATATAAAATTTAATTAAAAATTTAAATTTGACAACAAAGAAAGCAATTAAAATTTATTATTTCTTGTTTGTATAACACGAAAAAAAAAAATTCGTAGCAAAATATTTTTCAAAAGTCTTTTTTAATAACTTAATGTATAACAATTATGCAATAACTAATTTGAAATTTTCTGCTGTCTGACAATGAATTTTCGAAGAAAATCATTTTTTTTTCATATTTCATAAATAAATTATTTTGTGAAATGACATAGAAATTTGAAAAAAGTATATAAGAATTTTTATATGTAATAGCAAATTTCTTGTTACGTTTGTAATATTTTCAGTAATTTTTTTGGCATTAATAACAAAATTCATAATTAATAATTAAGAAAATTGAAGCGAAGAACTGTTTTATTAAAAGATTCTGCACTATACACGAGGTTCGTTGTTTTTTGAAATCTAACAGACCAGAACATCTGCTGTTTTATACCTATATGAAGTAAAAGATCGAAGCTTCTATTCCTAGCCCTACTGGAATAATTTTTCCGAATAATCAATGCTAACGGCGAATCATATATTAGAGTGTTTGTTAGATTTGAAAATTATTTTCTAAATTTTTCTTTACCTCCGGTAACATTCATTTTTAACACAATTATTTATATACTTTATTATTAATTATACAAAAAGTTTTACACTTTTCATAATTGATACTAAATGATACGAGGTTAATAAGTTTTCCAGTAAAAGAGGTTCCGTGAACGGGGTTCCAGGAAATAAATGATACTTTACGAAACGAGGACCGAAGCCCATTTTTGTAATCTCTTGTAATATTCAATAACTTATTACCCTCTACTTTATAACCAGGGACTTCCAAAATTTTACTTCAGTCTTATATAATTTCAGTCTTATTTAATTAGCAAATATTGTTTAATGCGAATTTTCAGACATCACACAAAAAAATTCAAATCACACACTCACAAATTGTATGCGTAAATTTTGTATGTATATATATGTATATGCTTATGCAATCTACAAGTTTTCTCTTTTGTAAATTTATGTATCCTTTCTTTTTTCCCATATGAAACTAAATAATAATTAATTGATAAAATTTTAATTCGAATATTTTAAATCAAAATTTAAATAATTTAATCAAAGACTCAAACCTCAATATTTAAAATATTATAGAACTATAAATTTTTTAAGCTTATTAAATTGCCTCTAAAATCGCTTTCTATATGCATTTCTTATAATATTTAATACACTATACTATAAACAGAATTTCTATTTATTATTCTGAAAATAATTTCATAAAAAATCTGAAAACAAATTGTATTTCATATTATGTACATATATATATATATATACCTAGTTCATTAATCTTTTAAACATAATATTAATAATAAATTTTTAAATATATGTACGTATATTATTTTAAAAAATTATCTTCAAAAAATTATGTGAGATATTTAAAAAATCATAATCATCAATAATCCCTTATATATTAGATAAAACCATAATGTAAAATATTTACAGATTACTGAATTTGGTGCGTGTCCTAGAAAGCCATGTAATAATGGTTATTATCCAATTCATGAAGCTGCAAAAAATGCAAGCTCTAAAACAATGGAAGTATTTTTTCAAGTGAGTAGTTTTGATATTCTATATAATATTTTATAAAACATTATTATATATTTTATTATACACTCTTCAATTATAAAATATTATATAATTATATATGTATGTATACGCACCTCAATTATAATATTGTAGTAAATAATAGGATATATAGTTTATTACATAAAAATATTGAGAAATCCTCTTATTTTATTCCTATATAGATATAAAAATTCTTTGTGACTTTAGTTAATGTTACTTGTACATTTATGTGTTGTATAAAATAAATAAAAAATTTTCCGAAATAATTAATTATAATTTTATATAAAATTTTAATTATGTATAAATTATATAAGTATATTATAAGCACAACCTAGCGGTAATTCGTAAAAATACTCGAATATGAGTGCAAATATCATTGGTAATTATTGTTCTCATAATTACGAAGACAATAATTCGGAGAGTGTAATCTCGTATAAATTGTTAATCAACAAATAGGTTACTCTCATATCACATTTCTTCCTAAAAATTATGCGACAAGTGAAAATGTAACAAAGTCAGTCTGTTTATTCTTTGACTTGAATTAAATTTAATGTTTAAGAGAATAGGAGATGAAAAATATAACAATATTTTCTCACATACTGGCAAAAATTTACAAGTGTCAAAAGTAGTTTCTGTTGTTTTTTTAAAGTTCAAAGGATTAAACAGACACCAATAACAACAACGTAAAATAAACCGCAAAATTTTTTTTACAACAAGAGCAAACGTCCAATTTACACAAATTTCTCTTTTTATTTTGATATTTTTTTCAAATAAAACTTCTAATGTTCCCGTACACGAACGGGTTCTTTTCCGAAAGTTTATATAAAATATGAAATATAAAAAATTTATGAAAGTTTGTTACCAAACATAAGTGAAATTAATAACTTATTTTAAGTTTATTTTACTCTCTTTCTCTCGAACACTATACTCTTACACATGACATCCGCATTAATGATTAGCAAATGACATTGAAGAGCACGCATTAAAATTCTCAAAGTAAAAATTTTATAAATTCAGTACTCATTTTAGTAAATACCTTATTATTTAACTATCAAATCAATGATTCAAAATATATGCTAAATCACAGATTAAAATTTCTTAATAACCGCCTCATTAAAATTATTACATGAAATTGTATAAAAATCAAAAAATTTATTTCGATTTTTTGTAGAAAACTTCAATACACAATCTTTATTCTTTAGAAATTTAAAAGTGTTGTTAATGACACATTTTATGACACGAATATCACTGCATTGAATAATGCGTACTATGGGTATGGATGTTGGATTAAAATATATGAACCATAATTTTACAAGGTTGAATACGAGTTAAGAAAACACAGAGGAATGAGTTGAAGAATTCTTTCAAATATTTTAATTATGATTATTTTCGACATTAATTAAAGAAAATAAAAGATGAGAAGAATTTTGAGAAAAATTTCAAATTTTCATAAATTACTCAAATTATTTTATGTTTTATTCCTTGCATAAATTAATTGAAATTTACCGTGATTAGTAAGTAAAGAGTTTAAAACAATTTCGGAAATTTGTTAAAAAAAAATTTAGAATAAAATTTAACTTTTCCTATATAATTATAGTAATGCACTTAATGACTCCTTTTAGAGGAGTTCATCATAAATGTAAGAAAAAGAAATACTTAAAAATTTGAGTTTGAAAATTGAGAACTTGAAAAACTCATTGATTTAATCACAAACTACACAATTAATTTTTTATATTTTTTTGTTTTGCAAAACTTCTTAATTTTAATTATTTATTTTCTTAAAATATAGTGGGGCGAATCTCGTGGTTGTACACGTGAAGAAATGATCTCGTTTTATGATTCTGAAGGTAATGTCCCATTACATTCTGCAGTTCATGGTGGTGATATTAAAGCAGTTGAATTATGTTTAAAATCTGGCGCTAAAATATCAACACAACAACATGATCTTTCAACACCAGTTCATTTAGCATGTGCTCAAGTAAGTTTTCTAATAATTATTTTTACAAAAAAATAAAGAAGAAAAGTAAACTTAATAAAATATTTTTTTTAGGGTGCAATTGAAATTGTCAAATTAATGTTTTCTATGCAACCACAAGAAAAGAAATTATGTTTATCATGTACAGATGTACAAAAAATGACACCATTACATTGTGCATCAATGTTTGATCATCCAGAAATTGTTGAATATTTAATATCTGAAGGAGCTGATATAAATGCATTAGATAAAGATCATCGTACACCATTATTATTGGCAGCATCACGTAGCGGTTGGAAAACAGTTAATTTATTAATAAAAATGGGTGCAAATATATCAACAAAAGATTCAAATAATCGTAATGCCTTACATTTTGTTATAATAAATGGTGGTAGATTAACTGAATTTGCTGAACAAGTAACAACAACACAATCAAAAGGTCAATTAATACAATTGCTCAATGAAAAAGATAATGCTGGTTGTGCACCATTACATTATGCTAGCCGTGAAGGACATATACGTTCTTTAGAAAATTTAATACGTTTAGGTGCTTGTATTAATTTAAAAAATAATAATAATGAAAGTCCATTACATTTTGCTGCACGTTATGGCCGTTATAATACTGTTCGTCAACTATTAGATTCAGAAAAGGGAAGTTTTATAATAAATGAAAGTGATGGTGAAGGTTTAACACCATTACATATTGCATCATTAATGGGACATACAAGAGTTGTACAATTATTATTAAATCGTGGTGCATTATTACATCGTGATCATAATGGTAGAAATCCATTACATTTAGCTGCAATGTCCGGTTATACACAAACAATGGAATTATTAAGATCTGTACATTCACATTTATTAGATCAAGTTGATAAAGATGGAGTAAGATTAAAATAACTTGCATATATCTATAAATTTATTTAAATTATATTTAAAATTTTTTGCAGAATACTGCTTTACATTTGGCAACAATGGAAAATAAACCGAATGCTATATCAGTTCTATTATCAATGGGATGTAAATTAGTTTATAATTTTATGGATATGAGTGCAATTGATTATGCTATTTATTATAAATATCCGGAAGCAGCTTTAGCTATGGTTACACATGAAGAGAGAGCTAATGAAATATTAGCATTAAAATCTGATAAACATCCATGTGTAACATTAGCATTAATTGCATCAATGCCAAGAGTTTTTGAAGCAGTACAAGATAATTGTATAACAAAAGCAAATTGCAAAAAGGATTCAAAGAGTTTCTACGTAAGTAAAAATTATTTGTTATATATTATTATAGAAAAATTATAAAACTAATTTTTATTTTAATTAAATTTAATTTTAATTATATGAGAAGGATCAAATGTTAAATTAATATAGAATTTAATAAACTAATTAGGTATACCTATTAATATTATAATTATATAAAATTATATATAGACTGTATATATTGAAAGATCATTGTCATCACATAAATATATATATATAAAAAATATACGCAAAATTTTCAAAATTAATTTGTATACAAAGTTTTAAAATTGAAAATTACAAAAAAAAAAAACAATTAATTGAGAATTTTTCTAAATTAAAAACTTAACAAAATTTTTAAAAATATCTAGTGTTAATTACAATGATCTCTCAAACTAATTTTTTTTTATTTTATTATATAATTTAAGATACTCGTTAAGCACAAATTCATGGCTGAAAATGTAAGTTTAGCTGGTGTGCTATAGCCATGTTTCGTATATTAAAATTGTTTTTTTTTTTTCAAAAGTTGTGTACAAGTGTGTTAAGTATATTTTTTTAATTTTTGACGAAAGTCTCAAACAACAATCAGCAGATTTTTATTTTGGTTATAATTTTCATAGCAAATTATTAAATTTCAACGTAAAATTTGAACTGCATCAGTGATTTCAATCTAATTTGTAAACAGTCATCAGACTTTGTCGTATATTTAATTTTAAATTTTGTCGTATGTAAAAAATACCCTAAAAAATTAATATGTTTTTATTGAATCCTAAGCTCTTGAGAATTTATAATGCTCGATCTTATCCAATATCGGAAATCAATATAATCAAGTGGTTTAAATGCTGATAATTCGAGTGAATTGTAGGATACATATATCGATTGCTATACTTTATGTTCCAAAAATCGATAGAGTGTCGTATTAAATTTTCATTCATTAAACTTTAATTATTTTATTATTTTTATAGGATTTAGCAAATATTTTAAAGCGAATTTTCAATATTATTAAAATTTATTTTCCTCTAATCTATTAATAAATTTATTTCTATCTAATTTTGACAACGTCAAATTTTTTATAATAATTACACTTAGTGACCGCCGGTCAACATTACACAATGACATAATATTTTCGAAATTTTTTTAAAAACAAATGTGCTGCTTATTAATTTCTTTATAATTTATATAATTTTATTATTTTTGTTCGATTTGCTCTAAAAATAACGTGAGAATATAATTGAAAATGAGATTTCAACTGCGCCAATTTTGTATAAATAAAGTTGATAATGAAATTAATAGGTTATTTTTAGAAAATTACTAAATGCAGGATATATCAGACTCGATAGCACTCCCAAAACACGGTGATAGAAAATTCCCTCTAGACGAATAAAAAGCACCCAGACACATTTTGCATTTTGGACCCCTCTCCACCACCCCGTCTGAGGTTATGAGAGCTTATAAGTTTTACATTTTATTGTTGATCGGGAAATGAAACAGATAATCTTGATGTTTATATTGTCTTGGTGGCATTCTATCAGCCTGCTTTGGAAATTCTACCTAGTCTCTAACACTCTGTATATAATTATAGAATTTCAATTAATTTCAATTCAACAATTTTATTTTTCTCTTTAAAGTTCTGCATAGTCTTTATCAAATATCCATATTAACACTTCTTCTCTTTCTATCCTTTTTTTAAATATCCCTACACAGTCTTGAAATTATACAACAAATTCTAATTTAAATGAACAAAATAACATAGAAAATAAAAACGAAAAAAACCTTAACAAAATACACCTGTACACATTCTATTGGAAAAAAAAGTATAATGTTTCTACTATAGTGCCTAAATTCATAACCTTAATAATTATATAAATAGTATAAGTATATATAATAACTATGTATATGTAAATTTATTTATAAGTATTAAGTGTTATATAGAAAAAAAAAATTAATTAAGCGCATATATTAGTAATTTTAATATTGAATTGCAAAAAAGTAAAAATTTTTTAATTTATGTAAATTTGAGCAAAAAAAAAATTTAAATTATATAAAAATTTAGATAAGATACTCGTTTTCGTGTCTACAAAGTCCAAATATTTATGCTCAAATGGATGAAAAAACTGGAGAAGCATATATGGTATCAAAACCAATTCCATTACCAGCATTAAATGTAAGAGAAATTCGAGGATAACAAAATAAAATTTTATTTTTTTAAATATTTTTGTAATTTCTAGTGTATTTAAATATTAATAGTGTTAGTAATTTTAATTAGTGTATATTATTTATTTATAATTAAGAATGTATATGTGTATTGTATAAAGAAATGCATGAATATTATAGTTGGATTATTATACAGTTAACTGAATATTAAATAGTATATGTAGAATTATTATAAAATATTTACAAGTTAATTAATAATTTTGTGTTAATTTTAATTTAGATAAATAAATTCCAATATGCTGTCTGTATTCTGTAGGGTGTCTCATATTCAAGAGCATTACTATAATGCTCGGTTAAAAATTTTCATAATAAACCATATTAAAAGGTTATTGTACATTATGTTAAGTTATTGAAATTTGGAAAGAATGAAAAACATTTGCAGTACTATATTTTTCTCAATTACTTATTTACTCCATACTTAACAATTAAAGATTGGAAGATTATACAAAGTTAAAGTTCGATTGACAAGGTTACCAACTGTGCTGAAATTATAGGAAGCAACAATGTTACATTACCCCAAAAAAATTTCAAATTATCCGAACTTTCAAGTCACATGATTCCGAAATCTGAAAAGATTATAAGTAATGTAGATATTTATGAGAAATCCTTTGTTCTAAGGCTCTTAAATCATATTAAACAATGCGTCTGTCTGACACAATAATGGATTTATATTTAAAATTTACAAAAAGTAAAAAAAAAATGAGTGGAAATTGATTTTAATATTCTTTGTAACTCAGAACTTATTGAGCTATGAACATCGTCCTCGGTGTACAGCAATTCATTCAAATACATAACACCCTATATATATATATATAACTACAAAAAATTATTTATTTTTCTTAACATTTAATATAAAAATTATTTGAGTAAATTTGAATATTAGCAAAAATCATGGTGTACACATTGACTTGATTATTATATTAAATACTAATTTAAAAAATATCAATGCCTATGGGACGGTTCTAATTTTTATTACATTTAAAAACAATTGTAATTTTATATGTACATTTAATTAATTATTTTAATAATTAAAATTTGTTTAAATTATAATTTTAATTTATAAGTATTTAAAATTTATAATGCATGCGATAAATTATTATTTTATTTTTAATTGGCATGCGTCTATATATATATATATATATATATATTTTATTTTTTATTTTATTCTTGTATATATAAAAATTTTTTTTTGTAGATAAAATATTCATTTTGGCCATATCAAAAATCACAAAAACAAATCAAAGAAATGCAAAGAAAATTAGGTGATCCTGATTGGAGACCACCTCCATTACTTGTTGCTAATGTGAGTTTTTATTTTAATTTTTTTTTTTTGTTTTATTTTTCATAATAAAAATTATATTCAGGGATTAATAGAAATTATAAACATGTTAACGCTCATATGTCATATGTCATCTATGTGACATATTTTTTTTTTTTGGAGAATTATGATTTACTGCGACATATTATTAGGGGTTGAAATTTCGGACTCCAAAATTTTTGAGATGACATTGACTTTTGCTATAATGCTATCCAAATTTAATTCAAAATTTCTATACATTATATGTAAAATATCGATTTTGGTAAAAACAAAAAAAATATTGATAACCAAAATATTTTACTTTAAAAATTGGTTTACAAAGTTTGGGGCTATACATACCACGATATGAGAGAGATGCGACTACGAGTTTTTAATATTATTTTTCAAAATTAATTAATTTTTTTGTTTTTCAAAACCATCGCCCCATTTCAATTTCAATACTTTAAATTGAAGGAAATAAATAATTTTTTACCTTGAATATTATTGTGAATTAAAATATGTATCTTGTTAGATTTCGAACTTTCTTATGTTTTATTCGATATACCGTTTACGTTAAGCAGTTCTACATTTTCATCACAGATTTATGTAGGTATCTATATTAAAATTTAAATTGAATTATAATTTTTGCATGAATTCAATAAATTGCATGTTATATACGTATGTTTAATATTATATATCCAAATTATAAATGAAGTAATTCTCATCTAAAATAATCGATTATTTTATTATTTTCAATTATTGTACATTATTTCAAATAATATTTTATGTTAATATATAAATATTACATATATATGTACATAATACGCATGTTTTATTTCAATAATTAAAAATTTTATTTTTAAATTTAATTAAATTGTAAAAAGAAGAAAAAAAGTTTAAATAAAATTAATTATTTTATATAACGCAGACAATGGTTAATCATGGACGTGTTGAACTTTTAGCTCATCCATTATCACAAAAATATTTACAAATGAAATGGAATTCATATGGAAAATATTTTCATTTAGCAAATTTATTATTTTATTCAATATTTCTAATATTTGTCACAGCATTTTCACAACAAATGATGACAAATATTGAAGTATTGTATAAAAATAATGCAACGCAAAATTTTTGTGAACAAAGACGATTGGATATGAGGTAAAAAAGATTTCTCTTTTATTTTTTTTTAGAAAAAAAAATTCAATTTATTTAGAATATTGTCTACTTAAAGTTTAGAATACTCTAATAGCAATAAAACTGATTTTTTTTAAGAAAAATATTGATTGTTAAGAATGGCGTTGTGTTAACCTTAAGTGGTTTAAAATTATTAAATATTTAAGCTACACTGAAGCTAAGCTACACTGAATGAAACACTGCTAAGTTGTATAATTATATTGGTTCTAAATCAAAATATTTTGTCATCCGTTTGTTTTGGTCAAGTGATTAACAGCCTAATCGTGTATCTTACCTTTTTATTAAATTTTTATTCGATTTCAAATCAGAATTCTTCGTTTTTCTAATAAGATTACTAATTTTTTCAATTGGATTTTTGTATTTTTTCTCAAATCAGAGACTGAAAGTCTCAATTTCTAAAAGTGAATAAATTTTGTATATATTTTAGAAAAAAAACGAGATACGCAATACCGAATAATTCTTCTCACTCGAAAATGACATTACACAAACATATTATTGTTACTCACTTTCTTCTCACTTGCCGATTAAAATAGCGACATAGACGATCCCACCCTTAGTAAAAATAATAAATCTCATTTTGATTCAGAACCAATTCAGTTATGCTATTTATAAACCTTTAGTCTACTGAACGCACTACACTAAAATGTATTTTTTTTGTCATTATTATTAATAATTAATATTTTTGCATAATTTTGTATATTTTTAGTTTCCTAACAAATTATTCATCGCCAGCAAATTTAAATGCAAATCCATTGGAACCAAAATGTATTATTGAAAAGGAACGTATAATTGGAACATCATGTTTATTTATAAGTGGTATTGTTGTTATAATTTATATTGTTCTGAGTTCAATTAGAGAATTGGTACAAGTTTATCAACAAAAAATTCATTATATACTTGAAATTGGAAATTTATTATCTTGGTTATTATATATATCGGCATTAATAATGGTTTCACCAATATTAACTGAAAGTGGTGAAGTTAGTAATATACATTATTCAGCAGCATCAATTACAATATTTTTCTCATGGTTTCGATTATTATTATTTTTACAACGATTTGATCAGGTAATTTTTATTTTAATATATAAATTTTTTATATTGACTATTAAGAGTAATCATAATGAATAAAATTAGCAAAGCAAGTTAGAATCGAGATTTTCTGTTAGTTAATGCATTTTTAAAAAGTGTAACGAAACGAACACTATTTCACTAAATCTGAATCTGATCCTTTAACGTAAAATAAACGTTAACCCTTAATTTTTTCCATTTACTATTTTTTTTAATTTTTCTGAATTTTTCAATTGGGCAGATCGCTAAACGCTCAAACACAACTCAAAAGTAGTGAGTTACGCCTAAGGACGACCTGTACCCCTCTAAAAATTCTTAAGCCATTTCATAAGTGGTATGAACAACATCCCACCCGGTTTAACGACTTCATTAATTAAGCCGAGAATCATCAAGGCTTGTAATTTTCCTTACTCATTAGTTTAAGGCACATAAACTGTAATAACTTTTCAGTTTCAATTTATACCCATCTACAAAAAAATTTGTTGTGATTTATAAGTAATTGAAAAACATATCTTGTAGAATATTTCTAAAAATAAAAACATGTTCCACTCATTTCAAAAATATTTTAAAGAAATTTTTTAGCAAATACAACAACCAAATTATTGTTTCAACTTTATATTTATTGAAAATTATTCGCACTGTGTCGCCATCTGTGCTGTATTATTTTTAACCATTCTCCCTTTTGCAATATTCACAATATTTTCAGAATACTAACAAGCATTTTTCTTCTGCGTTACAACTTGCTCGATTGTAAATGTCATGTCATTGAAAATAGGATTAACATTTTATATGAATACTTAGCATAGCAAAATAGGATTGACCATTGTCAATTTAATTTCTTTTAAGATAAATTGTAATTAAGATAGTTCTCATGTAATTTATGTATATAAAATTATGATAATTCTGTCAAACAAAATCAAATGATGTTGTTTGATGAAAAAACAAAAACGATCAAGCAACACAGTTACTAATGCAAAACTTAAATTACCATATGTTCACCTTCTATAAATAAAAACAATTTTTTTATTTGTCATTTAAACAGGTTGGAATTTATGTTGTCATGTTCCTTGAAATACTTCAAACTCTGATAAAAGTTCTTATGGTGTTTTCCATCCTTATAATAGCATTCGGTTTGTCATTTTTCATTTTGCTATCACAGGTAAGTCATAAAAAAGGCCATATTAAACAGTACCAAAATTTCTATCAAATCTTTTAACCGTATCTATTATTATAACAGATATCAGAAAGCTACACAACAACAACATTATCTTTTTCATCAATTCCGATGTCCCTTTTAAGAACATTTTCAATGATGCTTGGTGAATTAGATTTTGTCGGAACATATGTTACTCCGTTTTATTACAATCAACTCAAAGTACCTTTTCCATCTTTTTTAATTCTAGGTAAATATATTCTCGTACACTTGAAAATATGCTCTTTTATTAAAAAAATTAATGAAAACATATTTTTATTTAGGACTTTTCATGGTATTAATGCCTATTTTACTAATGAATCTATTGATTGGTTTGGCAGTTGGCGATATTGAGTCAGTTCGAAGAAATGCGCAATTAAAACGTCTAGCAATGCAGGTGAAAACTAAATTTTTATTTTTAATAATACTTAAGTATACAAGTACTATTTACAATTTATTCAATTTGAATTCTTTAAATTAATTACTAATTAGTTTCTTCAATAGGTTGTTTTACATACAGAATTAGAGCGAAAATTACCACAAATGTGGCTTCATAAAGTCGATAAAATGGAATTGATAGAATACCCAAATGATAAAAAATGCAAATTGGGTTTGTTAGATTTCGTAATGAGACGATGGTTCTGTAATCCTTTTAATGAAGACAGTAAGAACTCATATTTTAAATACAAATCTTATATTTAATATACACAATTTTAATATAGATGGCATGGATATGGTATCATTTGATAGTAATGAAGAAATTTTAGCAGCAGAAATGGCTAAACAGAAACAAAAATTGAAAGAAGTTGGTAGACTATTGGAACAGCAACATCAATTATTACGGTTAATTATTCAAAAGATGGAAATAAAAACAGAAGCTGATGATGTCGATGAAGGTATACCACCATCTGAACTTTCGGTAGAGAAAGGACCAACCAATAACTCAAGATGGACTTCTCCAAGAATACGAAAGAAATTGAAAAATTCTTTAAGCTTTACAAAATCCTAAATAACTTGAAATCAGAAAACCTATTTTAAAAAAACTTACAAAATTATTTAAAAATTAAATTTTAAATTAAAAAAAAAATGTTCTTGCTGTAATAGATATTAATTTATTTCTGTGTTAAATGTATAATTTATCAAACTGTCGTAATTAATTATAGATTATCTAAACTTATTCTTATCTGTCAATTCAATATTGGTATAATATGTATGTAAATACATGAATTTGATAATAAAGTATTATATAACATATTAAATGTACATGGCAATAATAGTTTATTTAATAATACTAGTTGACAGAAAAAATACGTCACCTTGAATAGAACTGTAATACATAATTTGCATTTTACAACTTACATTTTACATCTTAGATTTTTATCCATTGACGAAACAAAACAATACACAAATAAAATTTTATTTAAAATTAAAAATTTCATTAAACTCTTGCATCCACTAGCAAAAACTCAGTACTAATATTGTCAAAAAAAACTTGCTTTACAAAATAATGTTATTATACAGAATTATGCTATACGGCTGTCATTGTTAGGGAAATTGTGCTGCTACACATCTTAATAAGTTACAAATACAACGGAATATATGTCTAAAATTAATTTATCATATAACATTTTATTACAGTATTCAGGTTTAGAAAGTTTGTTCTCTGTTATAAAGTTCCTTTTCTTAAAGAGTTTTACCTCTGTTAGACTTATAAATAGTGAAGTTAGTGGTGAGAATTAATTTATAATTTTCAACCTCATTTTTAATTTGGGACGAAATAATTAATTTAAGCAGCCTTAACTTATCGTTACCCAGCATTTACACATACAAGTTACTTGCAAGCAAGTTTGTATAATATTAATTGTCAATTAGTTTTTCGAAATGTCAAATTACTTGCTATTATGACGTAGGCGTTTAGCAAGTTAATTTTTGAAAATGTCTTTGAATGAAATGAGAATGAAATGAGAAGAAAACAACTAGCAATATATATGATTGTTTATAAATTTTAGAAACCATAAGTTTGCTAAGTTTAATTTTTTCAAAACAAAATTCAAAAATTTTAAATTAAAAAAAAAAAAAATCAAAACAACAAATTTTTTTTTGTGAATTTCTCAATATGTCAAATTACTTTCTCAAATTACTGGCAGCAATATTTTCTTGCAAGTTGAACTGCAAGTAAACAAGCAAGTAGAAATATTTCAATGTGTTAGTAAAATTTTTGTATGTATTGCAACTTTCTTGCAAGTAACTTGTACGTGTAAATGCTGGGTTAGAAAGAAAGATCTGCTTATTGTTACATATCAAATGTAACAATAAGCAGATCTTTCTTTCTTTTTGAAGGAAAATAACTTCATTAATTTGACGTTTGTATTCCTTTGTTATTTTATGTGTCAGATTTGTAACAAATGTAAATCGCTCATAAAAAATTGAATTGAATAATGAAACCGCAAAAACAAGAAAATAATTATTGTAGCACAGAGAATTTCGTGAGTTTTTTTTTTAAGAATTATTATGTAATTAATTTTTTGACAAGCTGTATTAAAGTATATGTTAACTTTGACGTTATGAAAAAATAACAATTATAAAAACGTTACGTGACTTAAGTCAATCAAAAAATTTTGCTTACTTGATTTGAAATATTAGCAATATCTTTAAATCTAATAGGTAAATCTAATTGTTGGGCTGCCAAGCTGAAACTCTAAAAACGCAGCTTGAGTTTCGAAATGATTTCCAATCGATTACTCAAGCTGCCATATAAATGAAGCAAATAATATTAGTTATTATGTCTGGTAATGGAACCTTATATAAAAATTATTCTCTCTTTTATTGATAAAAGTTATTTTATCTCTACTCAACTGGCATGTACTCTTACGGTATGTATATACAATTTTAAATGAAAGCGAAATAATTGAGGCGAAATGTCAAAATTAATCTAAATTGCCGCTTATATAAAATCACTGTCAAAATAATTTTCTTCACAATTGCTTTGCAGACGTTTTTCAGTGAGGTTATAAATTTAAATTGTAATTTTCTATAAGAAAAGAAATTTTCTATTGATTTTCAATCCGCCATTTTGATATTTGTAAAAGTTCAATTTTTGTAATATTTTCAACAAAAAAACGACTGTAACTTCTTAAAACGTAAGTAAAAATACAATATTTGCATATTAGATTTGTTTTTATAATAATTTGTGTAGGAAAATCATAAAATAAGAAATGTACATTTTAATTTTCATGGCGGCGGATATGCATTAAGAAAATTATGGGAAGCGTGGTTTAATTAATTTCGGTATTTGGCTTATATTGTATAATAATATTGTTTAAATATAAAATATAAAGTTTTTCTGGGATTATTTAAAGCTAATTAACATTAATGTTTTGTATTTTAATGTATTTCATGTGCAATTTTAAAATAGTTTTGAATGTAAATTTGAAATAGCATTGACTGCATTGATTTTTTAAATTAAGATATGTATATAAGTATGTACTAACTAAATACATGCAAACATACATTTTATAACATTTTTAATTCAAAATTTTAAAAATAAAAGTCGTGTTGTTCGGATATTTAGATAATTGGGTTTACCAACGCCCTAGATTTTTTTTTTTACACGAGGGTGACGGAAAATCTAAGACGCGCCATTTTGTTAAATTCCGAGAAGATAACCAATATGACGATTGACGCTTTTTCTTTTTTTGTTTTGTTTTTGTGCTTTTTATTTTATGTAGAACGGCTGTGTTTGTAAAGACAAAGGTTGTTTGTATGTACATATACCTGTATGTATATATAAAGGCAAGTATCACGCAATATACATACATACACATATATATATATATTGCGAAAAAGAGAAAGGAAATGCCGGGATTTTTTTTTCTTTATTTTTTTTTTGTCTCTATACTTACATTTTTTTTCGTCCTTAATGTTGATGACCTTAAAACTTTCATACGCTTAGAGGCCTATGATTGATATAATGTTTAATGATGTTTGATTGTATCTCAACAATACAACTTGCCTACTGATATTGTATCTGTGTAAATCTTTAAAAAACAAAAATCATTTTCAAGAATAACTTTCTCTTTGCCGGCCAACACTTCTTGTAGGCATCTACGTTCCTAATCATATTTTAAGATATTGTAAGACACATAAATCTTTTGTTAATACTTAATAACTATGTATGTATATATATAGTTTATAGTGATACACAGAAGAAAATTTTTGTAATTATCCAGCGAACTATACATTTCTTGAGGGGTGCAAGCGAATATTAAGTTTTTGAATTTAAAATAGAGAATAACAGAAATTGTCTTCTGTATATCACTGTAAACTATATATGTATATACATAGCTTGTATGTACATATATTAACACAAAATGTTTAAAACGTAAATATGTATGCATATGTCTGTATTGATATAAAATATGCTGCTTATATTAAAGTATGTACCTACTTATGTAATTATGTTATACTTTCACGATGTCAGATTTTTTCAATTTTGGTTAAATTAATTTTTAATGTAACTAACAAAATATTGAGTAGGTATCTATAAATAACTGTTACGTAAGTAGGTAGGTATCTACCTACCTATGTAAATTCTAAAAAAAATATTTATGTATGTTTCCATACCCAACGCTAGTTCGATGTTAAAAAAAAACCAACTAAATAGAAAAAAATAAATAATAATGCCAATCTAGGAGTCACTAAAAAAAACTAATTAATATCAAATTAATCAACACTCAAGTATGCTTGACTGCAAAATTGCAATAATGAGGTATTTACAACAGAATTGGTGTATCTACCTTACTGCAATTTTGAAGTGAAGCAATTTTAGCCAATTAGTTCTATTGAATATAGATACCTACTCCAAAAATTAAAATATGAATCGAAACTTTTAAAAATCTGTAGCTGTGGATATTGCTGCCTAATCGTTTCCCAATATTATTTATGTATTTTTTTACACATAGTATAACATATGTATGTTTCGTAATCAATATTAAATCTTACATTAGCATTAAGTTTTTGATTATGATTTCATTAAAAGGAAGTAGACGTGTTGTACATACCTTCAAAAATGCCTTCTACATATATAAATTGTTTATATTTAGACATAACTTTATAGTTACAATTAAATATAAAATTTTTGTTAATACTTTTGGGATCTTAGACCTATTAAAATTTTTTTTAATTTTCTATTTTTTTTTATTATTATTTTATTTTTGGTTCTTAATATTTTTTAATTACATTTTCAGGACACAATTAATTAATTAATTTATTAAATATTTGGTTTAAATTCCAAAAAAAAAAAAAAAAAAGAAAAGTCTCAAAATTTTTTTAAATAAGAAAAATAAAAAAATTTCAATAAACTCATTCCATTACTTTCTATAAAACGATGGTCCAAGACACAAGGTAAAAATTAACAAAAAAAAAAAAACATGCTATTCTCATTTTAAAAAAATCAAGTAGGATTTGTATTTATATTTTTTTTTTTTTTGTTTTATTGTTAAAATCAATAATTATAATAAAATAACAAATAAGATATTTTCAAAATGAACTTAAATTGTCAAATTTAATAAAACTTATTTTAATTTTTCAGTACAAATATGGCATTCCGTAGTGGTGGAAATAACCGCCGAAGTGGTGGTAATTTTGGTGGCGGTTTCGGTGGCCGCAATATGAATCCTTGGGATCAAGGAGGTTTTGGTGGTGGTATGCGTCAAGGAGGTGGTCCAATGAATGCTGATGCATTAAGCTTAGCAAATAATTTGCTTAATAATTTATTAAGAAATCAAAATCCACCATCCCTTTTAGATTTACCACGTGGTGGTGGTTCTATGAGTGGAAATAGAAATCGTGGACAGGTATGTACAAATTTCATTTGTTTTAAATATTTTTTATAAGATAATACCTAAAGCAAAAATAATAGTATTATTATTGAAATTAAAAACAAACGAAAAGAAGAAAAAAACTGAATATTAACTACATATACTGTATATGAAATAAATTCTAAAATTTTCTCTGTTGTCAACTTTCAAAGCTAAAAAAAATTTCAGTAAATGTTAAAACTGCATTGTAATTTTATGTATTTTATATAAAACTAAACATTTGCTGTAAAATTTTTTATCTTTATAAAGTTGAAAAATTTAATTTAGATTAATATAGTATTATAAATATGCATAAGAAGAATTCTATTTTATATTTTATATATTAGCGATAAATTCTAAAGTATATAGGTAGTACAATTTTAAATCTATATGACAATTTTTAATGAGCCTTATGGAATTCTAAATTGAAAAAAGAACCCCAATTATTCAATTTAAATAGAAAAATCAAAAAATATAGTATTGTATTATTATATATTATATAATATTATTAATTAAATAAAAAATTTGTTGCAAATACATATTTATTTTACATGCAAAGCCTTATTCTTTATAGATAATGTCTTAAAATCGGCCGACAACAATTGAATCTGACGGTCACCAACCTGCAATCAGCAATTTATATTAAAAAAATAAACTTTCATATCAACTTTTCCATTGATTTGAATGTTTTTAAACGAAATTTCATTAATTTTTTTTTTTGCACTATCAATTGCAAGTAAGTTGCAATATCGATTAAGATGTAAAAGAATTAAATGCAGATTTTACAATATCGATAACACCTAAATTTTCAATATCACTTGAGAATTTTAGAGATCGTTTTTTTTTATTATATTGTTATCAATATACAAAAATTATGTTAAAACAATTCATTTTGTAGGTTTATTTTTATTTTTACGCTCATTGGGGAAAATGTGCTTCTCATGTTTTTTAAGAAAGTTTCAATTTTCCAATCAGTTTCAATATAAAAAAGTATTAATTTCTAGTTTTGAAATTACTATAAAAGTTCTATCAAATTTTTCTTGAAATGAATTTCGCTAATATGTAAAATTTAAAATCATTAAGATTGAATTAGAAAATAAATAGGAGAAAATTCTTTATCTTATTTTAGTTTCTTCTCATGAATTAGTATGCTTTTTTTTTGTTTCAATTCTTCATTTCATTATAATAAGAGACTCTTAATAAATTTTTTTATTCTTATTTTATAAAACTTTCGGTTTTTTTTCTGTTCCCTAAAAAACACATCGTTTTTTTTTTTTTTTAATTTTTTTTATTACTATTAACATTAGTTTCAAACATTTTTGTATCTTAAATTAAGATTAGGTGTGTAATATTATTATAATTATTTTATATTATTATTATTAATATAATACCTTAGTAAATAGAATAAATAAAATGGCTTTTTGGCGCGTTGATGAGATTTCACATTCACAACAACAAAAAAATTCAAAAAGAGCGGTTCGATAAAAATCCTATTTAGTTTCATAGTGGAATTAACACAACTCCACAAATGTTTTTTTTTATAAAAACAATAAAATTATATTTTTTATATTTAAAAAAAAAAAATAAAAAATACTTAAATGAACATGAAAAGGATTTATCGTCTGCCATTTGAAATCAAAAATTCCACAATGCACAAAAGAAAAGCCAAAAATGCTTTTAGTTATAATTTTTATTAATTAAAAAATTATAAGAAAAATATTAATTTAAACATAAAAAACCTACATTTTTATAATTTTTTTTAATTAATTCTTACTATTTTTATTAATTTGAAAATATTTTTTCTTAACTTTTTTTCTCGATGTTGTGTTAAACCAAAAATCATAAACAATTGAAAATGTTTCTTGTTCAAAAAAAAAAACATTTTTTTAAAACAAAAACAAAATTTCTGCAAACTATCAAATAAAACAAATGTGTTTGAAAATTTGATTTCAAAAATATAAAAACAAAATGAAAAAAACAAACAAACAACAAATATTGCATATATGAAAATAACAATTGAAATTTCTTCTGCCTGTTCCTGTCCAATGTGTTGCTTCGACATAATTTATAAATGTATATATATTTTAAAATACAATACAAAAATGTGTATAAAATTTTTCGACCAACGTTCACCAAATCACACACCAAATATATATGATTTGCATATATAAATATATATATAAATACATATATATATAAAACCTGTGTTTAATATATATATATAAAATATTATAAATGATTCTGATTTAAAATAAAAAAAAACTTGACTTACGCCACATTACATTCATTTAACACCACAAAAATAAAATACTTGTCAAATTATTTTGTAATTTTACCACAAAATTTTCATGATGAATTTTTATGTTCACGATTTGCCACCTGGATTTGCCCATACGAAAAAAAAAAACTTAAACGAAAAATAAAAAAATATTTGAATTAAAATAAAAAAAATTTATTCTTCATCTTTTATTTATCAAATTTTTTTATACAATATAATTGTTGAAATTAAATCACAAACATTTTTAAAATGTTTGTTAAATTCTGAAAATTGTTAAATACTACAAAAAAATATTGTTTTTTTTTTTTTTTAAATTAAAATTAATTTAAATTGTTCAATTAATTTTGAATATTTTTGTGCATTTGAAAAATAAATATAATTATAAAAATTTCTTTTTTGTGTGAAATATTTTTTTTATGATAAAAAAAAATTAAAAAATATTAAAATGAATTTAAAAAAAAATAAATAAATATAATTGAAAAATGCTGTGCCCAATATTCGAAAATATTATTCAAATATTGAATTATTATATTATAAAAATGTCATATCGACACATAATATACAAATATATATATTGTATATATATAAAATACATAATTGTATTAAATTATATATATATACATACAATTGAACATTACAAATATTCTGGAAATATAAAAATTTCTATCATCATATTTGAAATTGAAATAAAATGAAATTCTTGCCATCGTCAACAAAATTTTGGATTAAATTACATTAAAAACAAAAAAAAAAAAACTATTCAACGAAACGATATATAAACAAAAATGTAAATTTAAATATATATGTAAAATATTGCATATATAAAACGGATATGTGTAAATCAACTAAAATAAAAACAAAAAAACAAACCAAACAAAATACAAAAACTGTTGGAAATTTTTTTTTTTATAAAAATGTATTCATTTTGCAAAATAACAAAAACTTAAAAATAAAAACAAAATGTTAGATGGGCAATCGTGCCGGTGGCAATCGTAGTGGTAATCGTCGTCAAGGAAGTGGTTTCGGTGGTGGTGGTGGTGGTGGTAATCGTGGCAATCAAAAGTCTGGCGGTAATAATAAAGGCGGTATCCGTAAACAAAATGCCTTCGATCGTGCCAAGAAACTTCTGGCTAAAAATTCTAATAAAAAGAAGGATTCAGCAGACAAATCCGAAAACAAGTCTTTGAGGTAAGAGAAGAATTAAGTCTTATTTTGGGTACAAATAATTGATTTTTGTTTTACAACAATTTTGTTGGGGCAAAAATTTCCAAAATAAGCAAAAAAAAAACTAATAAAAAGATAATAATTTTTTTTTTTTAATAAAAAAAAAAATATTTTATATACAAAAATTATTTTTCAAAATACAAATATTCTTCCTTTTTATATATATATATATATACTTCTTTTATTATATAATAATAATGAAATATACTTACATAAAAATATAAAAATACTTATAATCTCATATATTACATTTTTTTTAGTAACGAAAAAAATAAAATTCAAATGAAATTAAAAATATTTTTCTCATATATTTCAATATATTTAATATACCTATAAAAAATAATAACAAAATAGTATTTTATTTAATTTAGTTTTTGAATTCTATTTATATATTTTTATCAACAATATAAAATAGCTCGATTATGTTTTTTTTTTTTTTACAAATATTGCAGTTGATGAAGAATCAATCATAATAATATACATAAATAATATAGAATATACATATTTAAATATATTTTAATTAAAAAACTTTTTATCTTATTTGAATACCAATTATTTTTTTTTTATTATTTTTAGTTTTCTTGAATTTTTCTTGTCTGATAATGATATGTAAAATGAGTAAAAATACAGCAAAAGATGTTTAGTCCAATATTTCTATTAAAATTTTCTTAAAATTATTTTAATTATTGCTAAAAATTATTAGAATAATGGTGATATTTATGTTTAATTAAAAAATTTTCGTTACCGTCCCATTCCAAGTTTAATCTTTTCAATGTCTTAATTTAGTCAATTCTTTAAACGTCAAGAGATATTTCTAATACATACTAGTGTTATAAAGCCGTTTATTTTTTATGTTAAATTTACTGTTATTCATAATTAGTTCTCATATTTTGTGAGCAATTTTTCTACATGCAAATCTGATCTATCAAATTTCAATAAAATATGATGTCAATAAAAATTTTATATTATTAAAATAGAAATCTTGCTGCCCCCTCTTATAAGTAATTTTGCAACTTAGTAAAATGTTTTACTCCAAATTAAATAAAATGTCAATTTTCGATTGAAGTGTTCTACAAAAGCAAAAATGAACAGTGTACCTCCTCTTACTTAAAAGGGTAACTATTTTGGCTTAATTTAATGAGCAATAACAATATTCATGCCAACATAAAAATATAAACTTTTTAAAAAATTTTATACTGAGATTTCTCAAAAATTTAGGCCAAATTATATGACAATAGAGAAAAATATTTTAATAAACAGTTTTCATTAGTCAGACTTAAAGCTATACATACATACTTTACAAGTACATGCTCTACATATAAGTTGTCAATAGAGAAATGTGCCTTTTTATAAAACATTTATTTACTGTATTAAAAAAATAGTCACCCTTTCAACAAAAAAAAAATCATTTGGCGATAATTACACACAGAACCTTTTAATCCTAATGATGAAATGGCAATACAGGAAAAATAATTCTTAAAATTGTGCCAACCTTAATTTGTGTGTATATAAAGGTTTAATTAATGTGATTAATGTGACTAAATTTAAGATTCTTAACTGTTAAAATTTAATGAAATGAAACGAAACCCTAATAAAAATTGAGTTCGAATTCAATTTTGACTTCAACAAATGTTCAATTGAAATTTTCAAAGTCTCATTCTTTCAAAATAATTTCAAAAATTTTTATTGAAAAAATATACCTTAATTGGATTTGGACATTTGGTTCTATGGCTCACAAATATATAGAAAATTTTAATAGAAATAGATGATAACACTTTCAAGAAATGCCAAAATTTTAAAATTTATTAAAACTCTGTATACTTCACATTAAAATTTTTAACATGATCATTTCTTTCATTCCCAACAATTCATTAATAAAAAAAAACAGAAGATATTTATTAAAATAAAATCTATTTTCTAAAATCAAAAACTTAAATTTTTATTTAAAAAGAAAATAGTTTCCAAAATTCATAACTATTTATAAAAAAATTCATTTTTTTATGCATGAGACAAATATTTAATAACATAATGTTGCTTTATGTACATTTCAAATAATTTTGATTGTTTTCAGTATTCCAAAAATGTTAATTTAGACAAATTTAAAGTCTAATATTCTCGGCATTTTTTGAAAGTGTATAAATTAAATATTTAAACGGATTTGAAAATTCTTAATCATCACGAAATTTTAAGATTTTTACTCTCCAATTTTTTCTTTTATATTTTTTTGTTTTCATTTTAAATATAATAAATTAAGATAACTAATTTTTATTTTTCCTTTTTTTCATTTTCTATCTTTTTGTTTTCTAATTCTGGAATTTAATGAATATCAATGATGGAATACAGCAAGGAATCTATATATGCTGATGTACCCAATGATATGTTTTACTGTCATTTATGCAAGAAGCATATGTGGGATTCAAATTCATTTGAAAATCATATTAAGGGACGAACACATTTAATGATGCGTGAAGGTATTGAAGAAAGTTATCGTCTTAAAGCAAATATGATACGCCAGGAAGCTAAAATTGCCGAACAATTAAAAGCTATTGAATTGGATCGTTTAAAACGTATTGGTAAATCAGGTAAAGCAATGGCACGAGATTATTGTACAATGTGCGACTTGAACTTCCACGGTCATATGACATCTCATCGTAAAACTGAGGGACATTTGGCATTGAAGAAATTCTTGCACCCTAAATGTATTGAATGTAATAAAGAATTTTCTACGCGTATTGAATTCGATACACATTTATTAACACCGGACCATTTGAAAAAAGCAGCTGAAAAGAATACTAAAGTTGGTGAACGTAAAAAAGCCAACTTAATAATTTTGACTGAGGAAGAAGAAAGTAAAGATGTTCGTCCACCAGCTAAGAAGAAGAAGAAGTCTGAAACAAAAAAAGCTGAAGGTGAAAAAACTGATGAGGAAAAGAAAGAAAATGGTGAAGAGAATGCTGAAGGTGGTGAAGGTGATGAAGAAAAAAAAGAGCATGTAGAAGGTGAAGAAAATAAAGACGCTGATATGAATGAGACAAAGGAAGAAGAGGAAGAGGAAGAAGTTACATTAGCTGAAGATCCAGCTGACTGTATATTAGATTATCATGATGGAGATGAAGTACCAGTTGAAATTGAAGCCAGATTACCAAAGTATAATTGGTTGCGCCCAGTTGGTACAAGCTTAATACATAAATTGGAATGTTTTGAATGTCAATTGTGTGCCAAATTCTTTGACACCGAAAAAACTGCTGAAATTCATACTAGAACTGTGTCACATCATAGACAATTTACAAAATTCTTGAATGAAAAATCAAGTGACACAAAAATTGCACAAAAACGTGCCGCAGCCGCTATCGAAGAAAGCGAACGTAAAAAGCGTCGTATTGAAGAAGCTGCAGCTGCAGCTCAAAAAGAAGATGAAAATGGTGAAAAAGAAGAAGATGAAAATGCCGAAGGTGGTGATGGCGATTTATATGATCCATCTGAGGCAACTGGTGATGAAGATGTTGATATGAATAATGACGCAAATGGTGATGCATCTGAAGGTAAAAATGAGCAAAATGGTCAAATCGAAGAAGATAAACAAGAAGAAATGGAAACAGAAGAACCAGAAGTTAAGGAACCCGAACCAGAACCAGAGCCAGAACAACAGGAACCAGAACCAGAAATTGCTGAACCAGAAAAAACTAAATCACCAGCTAAAGGTGCTGCTGCAAAAACACCAGCAGCAAAAACACCTGCCAAATCAACTCCACGTGGTAAACAACGTGGACGTGGTCGTTACAATTATTAAATTCACCATTTAACAAATATACACATAAATGCATAAATATGATAAACAAAACACAATATTCACCATTAAGAAAAAAAAAAAACCATTTTTAAAATATTGTATTTAAAAACAAAAAAAAAAACATAAACAAAAGCAAAAAAAACCTAACAAATATAATTAAAGTTAGGAAAAATCAATTTTTTGTATTAGTAAATGTTTTTTCAAATTTTTATATTTTTATTTAAATTAAATCCTATATATATATACATATATTTATGCATATGTGTTGATATAGATATATATATTATATATAATTATAGTTCGCATATAATTTAAGATAAATTTTCATAATTATGGAAAAAAAAATTCTTCCTGCAACTTAATTAATAGGACCCTTAGTTTGTAATCAACATTATAAAATTAAAATGATAATTGTATGATTTATTTTATTTTTTTTTTTTTTATTTTGATTTTTTAGTTATTGAAGTTTCAATAACTGTGTGTATAATTAATTTTAGAACAAAAAATTAATAACTTAGTAATTATTATGATCGTAGAAAAAACAAAACAAATAAACATGCATTATTCAGACAAGACAAATGTTGTCACTTGTAAAACTAAAAAATTTAAATAATAATTAAGAAATAAATTCAATATCTTTAATATATTATTAAATTATGTCATGAAACATCCGCGTATAACAAGATCGAAACAAAGTATAAGATTAAAATCCTTTAATAAAATATTAAGTACACATTGGATTGTACGACCAAAACCAAAATAATTTGTTTTTTATTTTAATTTTCATTTGTTTCTATTAAAGGAAATCCTCTTGAACTCTGTGTTATTGTTATATATAAAAAAAATTTTAAAGTGGTGTATAGCGTTAAAAAAATATTTAGAAATGATGTCTCCATTGCATATGTGTACAGTATCCATTACATGGTGTAAGTATATGTAACCATTTTGTTTTTAAAAGATGATAGGATCAGTTGATAATTTGAGAAAAATTTCAGTAAATCTATTTGAAATAATGAGTAATCTTATGGGAAAATTGAAATATGCATTAGCAAAAAGAAGAATTTACATTGGAAAGTGAATAATACAATTTTACATTATGAGCTATAATTACTAGATATGTAAGTATGTATGTATAGTACTTTAACATCAATTTTGAAGGCAAAGATTTATTCTGGAAATTTTGAAAGGCACGTAGGAAAGTGATTGCGTTTGCTTGAACATATTCACACCTATACATTGATATTATATTCGTGGATTTTATATAAATTGTAAATACATATGTATGTGAAAAATATTTTTATGTAGATTGCATAAATTATTAATTCAATTGCATATATGTAATTTATTAATTATCTGGCCTTTTGAAATTAGAAATAATTGAATTATAACTTTATGTTTATGATCTTGAATTATTTCTTTATGTTTATGGAACGTATTAACAACGAACATCCGAATTACAGAAATCCTTGATTTATTTGTGTTGTATGATATCAAAACATTAAAATCTTTTATTAAGATATTTAATTTTCATGTATGTATGCAATAAATATTATGTTTTTGCACATATGATTAAGAATCGATTGACTGACCAAAATAAAAACTGATCAAAAAAAAAATGTGCAATATTATATAAATTGTATAACAAAATTGGGGGGTGCCGTTCCAATTTGTAATTTTTTTTTTTTTTAAATAAATTCAGCATTTTTATGAAAACATTCAAAAGTTCAATATATTTATATGTATATACATGTATACATATATTTTTTCTTTATCCCTGGAAATTTCTAAATATATACATAATATTACATTAAAAATATCAAAAAAAAAAAATTTAATTTTACGAGACAAAGTACATGAGTCAATATGGCACTTAATTAACTATATAATAATTAATAGAATATCCCAAAAATAAGAAAAATATTAAGTTGGAAGAATGCTAATTAAAAATTAAGGTTAATAATCTTATAGCAAAACAAAATTATATATATATATTATATATATATAATTATCATCATCATGTAATAAAGCCCAGCTATTTAATTTACTTATTTTTAATATACAAAATAGTACAATTTTTATTTTACAATTATTTTTTATATATCGCTTGTTTGCTAAACAAAAGTGGCATAACTCAATTTGTAGATTTTTAGAAAAATTAATTTTAAAATTATTTTAGAGTTAATATGTAGATATATTTTTTTCTCGTTATAACATTGTATATATTTTATATTTTAATGAAAGCAACAATTTTTAAGCTGAAAAAAAAATGGTGTTTTTAAATAAAAAAGAGAAAATCTCTGTTAAGTACAAATAATTCAGAGATTGTATTTTTTGGAGTTATATCATTATTGCAGTAAATGAACAATAATTGTTTGTATGTATATATTGAAAAATTTTTGAATTTTTCATATTATACGGAGAATACGTTGACTTTTCAAAATTTTTATGTTTATTGTAGGCGTTCAACAAAATCTACACCACCATGATCACCTACTCATTTATATATAAATGTACATATTATATTATGTTATATACATATATGCACGTATGTATGTACGCTAATGTATTTTAATAACGTGAACAGAAAAAATCAACAATAAAATTTATTTTCTTTTAACAACGGATGAAATCTTCTTGTTGTTACTATTGCTGTTGTTGTTTTTATAACCGCTATTATTAAAATTAGACGTGATTTTCGAAATACAAAAAAAAAAAAAATAAAACATTTTTATTTTTTTGTTTTTTGTTAATTTTCTTTTTCACTCTTAAATTTTAAAGTAAATCTATATCAATAGCTACTTATACTCATTCACTCACTCATCACAAGCTATCTAGAAAAGTTCAATGAAAATTGAAAATTCTTGAAATAAATACAACGAAAATCAAAAAAAAAAAAAATAAAATGAAAATGATTAAATGAAATCAGCAACAATAACAACAAAATCAACAACAATAATAAAAATTTAAAAAAAAAGAGGTCGTTTCTTTTTCTTTTGGCAACTGCAACTTTTGATTGCGATTCGTGTAAAAACAACAAATTTTTCTTTTGCAAATCACAGTCTCTTTTAGAATTTCAATGGAATCGCAATTAAAAATTAAAAATCATATAATAAAATTTTATTAAATTAATTTAGAACAAAAAAAAAAACAAAATAAAAGAAATTTAGAAATTTGTGCGTAAAAAACAAAAAAATATTGAAATTTATTGAATTATTGAAAAAAAAATAAATAAATTTATTTTGTAAATTAAAAACAATTTTTGTGCTATTTAATTAATTAATTAAAATAATTTAAAAAAGAATTATTTAATTATTTTTTTTTATATTGTTGCATTTAAATTTTATATTATTCTTATATCATTCTCTGTGATCATTTTACAATTTTATAATTTTAAACGAAAATGTTTCAATTTTTTGATTTTTATTATTTAATTATTTTAATTAACAATTTGCGTTAAGTTTTGTTAATATTATGTGTTGTACATGCATTATCATTGTGACGTAATCTTTACGTATACAATTTGGTTGCAATTAAATGTTACTTTTGTTAAAAATTAAAAAAAAAAATAATTTAAAAAAAAATTAAACTTATTGTGGCATAATTTAAAAATTAAATTTTATTTATGAATGTAAAGTGATTGTAATATAACACTTTCTGTATTTAATTAATTAATTTATGTTTATACAATGTTATTAAATTAAAATATATGTGCGTTTAAATAAAATTTTTTAATAATTTTGTTTTATGAAAAAATAATATTGTTTTTATTTTTTTTAAATATTATTATAAAAATAATGAATAAAATAAATTATTATTGTTATTGTGATTATATTTTTAAAATGATTATATTTTTAAATTTAAATAAAATATTTAAAAAAATTTTGTATTATTAATATTACATTTTTTTTTCTTACATATTAATAATAAATAAAAATTAAAATTATTATTGAAAAAATTGACTAAAATAAAATAAAAACCAATAAATATAAAAATTTTGAAAGCTATAATAATAAAAAATTGAAATAAAGCCGAAAAAAAAAATTTAAATTAAATTTTAAAGTATAGAAAAAAAAAAATTTTCTTCAATATTCTAATTGTTGAAGAGAAAAATAAAATTCAAATCGATTACAAATAAAATTTATTTAAAATAAAATAAAAAAAAAAAATACAAAACAATACAAAATATACGAAAATTACCTTTGTCAGGTTCAAGGTACCGGGTGTCGTTCCGACCTTATTATATTTTTTTTTTTTGAATTTTTCGTTTCGGGAATATAAATTTGCGCGTATATTAAATATTTTTTGTTTTTGTTATGCTATAAAATATAATATATATATATAACTGTATATCATATTTATATTACACAAATACATACATACATATATATGTATATAAAGTGAGATAAAAACAAGAATAATAAAAAGAGAGTATAAAATTAAACAATAAAAACAACAACAACTTAATATCAAAAATATTTACAGTTAAAAAGAAAATATTCATCATATTATTTTTATTTTTCCGGCCAACAATTAATAATAATACTCGTATTATTTGAAAAAACAGCAAACAAACAACAACAACAACAAACAAAAAAAATGGAGAATATTGAGAGCGGAGAACTATTTTCAGATACGAAAATTATTGAAAATAGTCGTAAAGAAGAGAATGAATATAGAAAAATTGGAAAGGTAAGTAAAAAAAAAGTTTTGTTTTTTTTATGAATGAATGAAAAAAAAAAAGAAATTTAAAGTAAAAACAAAAAACATTTACAATAAAATAACATGTGACGTCACACTCTACTCATAAATAGTACAAAATAAACTCACATTTAACATGCATACAAACATGTACAAACAAAAATAATATAAAAAAAAAAGAAAAAAAATAAATTAATATTTTTTTTTGTAAAATTAAGAATAAAAAAAAAATTATTATTGTAATTATTTTGTTTTTTTTTTTTTATTATTATTATTAATTAAATGTGTAAACAAAAAAATTATTTACATATTTATTTACTTATTTTACTTGTTTAATAGATATAAAGGCTATTTAAAATATTTTAATAATTAATTATTTTAAAAATTAAATTAAACAAAGAAAATTAAATTTAATCGAGAACTTTGAATTTAATAATTATTATTTTTTTTAAATTTATTTTACGTTTTATTTAGTTTAAGAAAATAAAATTCCTTATGGCACAAGATTACGTACATATTATATTAGAAGGACTGTTTGTTTACATGGAATTTTAGGTGAAATTTTACAAACGGAGATAATACGAAGTTTGATTTGAAGGAAATTTCTAATACCGAATATATTACATAAAGAGCCCCCTAGGCTAAATTGAAATTAATTTCCGAAGTATTTTAAAGTAGTAAAATTTATATAGAAACAATCCCAATGTATTCCAGCTGAAAGTTAGTTTTTTATTGTTCAATTTTTGAGAATTCTAAATATATTAAAGGGGTGATTTTTATTTCAAAAGTAAGTGGCCTAAGTCCATTTAAATTAAAATTAAAATAATGTTCCATTTGAATTGAAAGTACCTAGAAAATTCGGCAAATTGGTTAATTGCTTTATATTTTTTAATCCTACTTTGCTCCTGGGAACATAGTAGAGCTGGTGCATGATATTATAAAAAATAAATGAACCAGTTTCTTGTGTCATTGAGTTTTACTCATACCATATAGGTGACCAGTCTACCGTAATTTTCTCATTATATTAAATTACGATTATATTTATTGTTCTGTTTTGCAGATATTGGATATTATCGAAATTTTGCAATTAGTTAATATTAATTTTTTAGTTTATATATGTATATTATGCTTTATAATATTGAATATAATTTTATAATGCTTTATAATATTGAATATAATTTTTATAGTGACCTGACCAGTTTTTGAACCTGAGACCACTGTATCATTGGTTATATTTGCTTTATATAAAATATTAATTTTTCTGTTATCTTATCGAAAACATTAGTTTCTTATCGAAAACATTAGTTACCGATTCCGTATCTATTGAAATTATTATTGGTTTGGAAATAAAAGAGTTTTAAAATTGTAAATAGACTTAAGTGGTTCACTTTCAAAATAAACCATTCAAATAACTTTGGCATTTGAAATTTCCAAACAGAAAAACAAAATCGAAAATATGTGGGAGTGGTTTTTTCAAAATTTTTCGAAATAAAATTTATATTTTGTGAAAATTTATTTAGAAAACTTTATGGTTTTTATTATTATTGTTTTGTTTTTTTTTTGCTGAAATTGGAATAATTTTTCAAACATTTCTTTAAAAATTGTGTAAATGACAAATAAATTTTTTTAAAATTTATGTCACTTTTTGTAATGTCACAAATACGAGTAGCTTTCTCGTATATCCTTTCAAATGCAAACTGAAATGAATTTCGTTCGTAGTTTCGGAAATTCGGAAAATTACGAATATCTTATTGTCAATTATGAATTACTAAAATTTTGCTTCGAATATTCGTAATAGAGTAACCATAAATTACGTTCGTAGTAAAAATTACCCACAAATTTCTACGAAAGAAATAATTTAAAGAGAATAGTCGTATTAAATTTTCGAATTTTGAATTTTTTAGTTTGAGTTACTTTAGCACAGCTAAAGATGATACTGCCATTGGTGGTTCATAATCTCTACGAAAGGAATTTGTGATCATTCAAAAGCGTACATCGTAGTTATGTTCGTAATTCGTAGGATTTCTACGAGTGGAATTCATGATAGACCTGTAGTTTTTCTTCTCTTATTCTCTTGAATTTGAACAAAATAGGTAATTGTTAAAATTTCATATTTCAAATTTTTATAATATAATTGAAAATACTTAATTAATAATTTCTTTATCCCGAAAATAAAAAACCAAAAAAAAAATATATATATGCCATATTCCTCCCACATAATAATTAATTTTTTTTTTTTTTTTTTAGAAAATAATGCAATAATAAAAGATCTACGTATACGAATATAAAGAAAAGTGGAGTGAACTCATTATTCTAGCTATCCTTATAATATAAAAATCAAAATATTTTTTATTTGCAATTTTTGCAATGATTAATTTTGAAAAAATATTTAAATTTAATTTAAATTTCTTTTATTTATGAATAATAATAAATTTAAAATTTTCTTTTATTTTTAGTTTTGTGATTTTACGTTGAAATTGAAAAGTACTGGCGCTTCTATAAAAGTTCATAAAGGTAAGATCATTGTACGTATAAGATTTTTGAGTATATAAAATAGAGATGTAATCATTATTAATGAGACGCACACACAATTTAATATATAATATATGTATTTTGCTCAAAATTAAATTCTATAGTGAGTAATATTTAATTTTAACAATTCTTTGTCATTCTATAATTCTAAAAACTCATACAATAATTTATTTGGTAAATAAATAAATCTCATATATATATCATTTATAATTTATATAAAATCTATTATATATATAGATGATATATATATCATCTAATAAATTATCACAATATTATTAGAGCTGAGATCTTCCTCAAAGTCTATAGCAAACAAAATTTAAAAATTAAAGTGTGAAAATGAGTAATTATTGAATGTAAATAATAGTTATTTATAAAATATACAAATGATGAATAAAATTTTCTTAAAATCGAGACAAGTTCAATATTCTATATAACTGTTCAAATATTTTTTAATTTTCACACAATTTTTAAGTAGAAAATTTTATGTTGATAAAATTGTCACATTTTAATTTTTCATTTTTATTGAGTCTACATACTATACGGTAATTTTGTATTACAATACAATTTGGCAACACCTTATATATAGCACTTATAAGCTGAACTTAGTAGTAATACAGAATTACTGCACTTAAGATGTCATTGCTAGTGTATTAGAGTATTTTAATAATTAAATTGTATATGCATAGAATACGAAAATGTATATTTGCATATATACATGTTTTTTCGCAACGTCGAATTCTAAATCGATTTAACCATGTCTGTTCCTAAGTCAGTTCCTTTAAGCGATAACTGAAAAAATTATTGAACTAAGTATAATTAGTTTTCACACATAATTTATAATAATAAATTCCAGAGGCCTATTTAAACTATTTTATTTTAAATTAACGTTATCAAAGCCGTTGTTCGAGTATAGCTGCCATACAACTTAAAAATTTATTTAGAAAAAAATTTAAAACTATTGAAGTCACAGTATTGAAATTAAAGCACGTAAAAAAATAGTTAAATGTACTTATTGCAACTGTTATGCAACTTCAAAAGTTTTAAACTACTATTTGGGCTGATGTATTAAAATTGAGCTAGAAATACATGTACGTATAAATAATAGAGCTATTATATAAATAAACAAAAGGTTGCAGTATGCATTAGGCGGACAAATATTAAATAGTTTAGGCTGACAAACATTATATATGACACACTTATATGAATTTTTCGTACGGTTATCAGTTTTTTTTTTTCAAATTAATGACATTGTTTTTTTCTTTAAGCAGTAAATTAAGCAGAGGTCCCTGATATTTTAATAGCTTCTAAAAATATTAATAATTGCGGTTCATATTGTTAAAATAAATTGTCAAAACTTTCATTTTCAATAACTTATTTCTTTCTTAAAACTTTAAACCATTCCAAATTTCTATATAATTAGTAAAAGCAAATAATTTACCGTAATTGTTTTCTAGTCAAAAAATATTAACTAGAATTCGAATGCGAAACTCGACCATTATGTAAACGGTTTCCTTTAATTTTCATCATCATCACGGCTAACAGAAATACAGGCCTGGACCCTAAGAGAGAGTAATAGTTCACAGCTGACGAATTTACACGTATTCTTGTGGGATTTATAGAGGGCCCTTTTTAACATCATAAATCTCCCACAAGATCAACTTTTTTCAAATTTTGGATTAGAAAATGTTAAAATTCAATTGATTTAAAAAAAAACCTTCGATGTTCTGTCAATTTCTTAAAAATGACGTTTTATGACATTAGGAGATATTACATTTTACAAAAAATACTTTCAAAGCAAGTAGAGTTTAATTATTGAATTGCTACTTTATACAAAACCCAATTACGATTCCATCCGAATTTATTTAAAAATTTCATGTTTATCCGATTTTTTTTTCTAATTTCAGTTGTATTAGCGTCATCTTGCCCATATTTTAGAGCGATGTTTGATTGTAAGTGCAAATACCTAAATTATATTAATTATAAAAAATGCATTAATTAAATTTAAAAATTTTTTAGCTGAAATGATTGAATGTGTTAAAGGATATTTAGAATTCAAGGATTTTATATCAGAAGCGCAATTAGAAAATATTATTGAATATTTATATACTGGAAGAATAAATATACCATTTTCAGCAGCAAAAATATATTATGAGCATGCAATATATTTTCGTTTAAAATGTTTAGCTAATTTTTGTACAATACTATTAATTAAAAATATTCAAACGGAAACTTGTTTAGATCTATGGAGGTTTGGAGGTAAGAATATTTTTGAAGGTAAGAGAGCTGACATTATAAAAAACAATAATTAAAAATTTTACAAATTATGCTTAAAGCTTATAATATATTATAGTATATCGAAATTTTTTAACAAAACGTGTATAGCAAATAGTGTTATTTACAAGAATTACAGGAATTAACGAATTAAGTAGTAGGCTAATTTGAGTAATTATTATCTATAATTTAAAATAGTGAATATAGACGACGATTTAAATGGATGACACCTATAGAATCAATCCATGCCATTAATAAAATATTTTTCTTAAAATTTATTTAGAAAACTAGATTATTGCTCAGCTAATAATAAATTATTTTTTGAATTTCATTTACAAATTTTTTCAATTTAATTGTAAAAAATTTCTTTAATGTAAACCATTTTTTTTTATTTGTTTTATTTTCTGTAGTAAAATTTTGTAATGAACATTTGAAAAACAATGCTTTAGATTATATTTTACTGAATGCTGACAAATTATTCGATCATTCAGATTTCTTAGATTTAACAGCCGAGGAAGTAAGTATATAATGCCGAATGCGATTCATTTTAATCTTAAATTAAGACAATTTCATTTATACCATTACATTATTTTAAATTAGTATAAAAATCGAAAATCTCTTAAAATAATTCATAGAATCATGGATGCAAATATAGAGCTGAACTTGACTTATTCAGCAATAAAATTTTCATTGCTGAATAAAGTTGATTTCAAATTATAGTATGCATTTAGAAAAAATAATTTTACTAATGATGGTTGTTATAGTTTTTATGAATTTTCAATAACATTGTAACTAAAGTGAACAATTCAGCTTAAAAGCTCTAATTGCTGAATTGTGTTAAAATTCTGTATGGTTGCAAATTTGAAATAATGATTACTCTAGACTAGAATTATAACATTAAAATTAATATTTGTCGTATTTTGTTGATAATTATGGCTATGAATATTTTATTTTCATTTCATATACCTTAAGCTTCTAATACATTAGTAGCTTATATTATTAATTTTATTTAATATTATTATTTTTTCTTTTATTGCAGATAAAAACTTTAATATCCGATGATAAAATGTCTTGTTCTGAAGAGAAAATCTATTCATTTGTAATGAAATGGTTAAATCATGATTTTGAAAATCGAACATATTTTATAAATAATTTAATTGAAGAAATACGTTTTCCCTTAATGAGTGATAGATTTATGACATCGGAAGTTTTAACAAATGATTTTCTATTAGAGAATAAAGACTTTTTAATAATTGCAACAAAAATTTTAAAATCAAAATTAGATACATCAGAAATATCATGTTTGAAATTTAATAAAATCAATTCACCACGTGTTGGATTTAGACAAAAAAATTTAGTTGCAGTTTTAGATAAAACAATTTATCATTTTGGACCAGAAGAAGATGATGTATTACCGATGACATCATTAACTGGTGGAACACATATTGGTGCTAGAATAACAACATTTGCTAAAAATTATTTATTATTAACTGGTGGAGAAAATTCAAAAAATTGTGAATATTATTGTCCAGTAACATATAATGTTAAACCATTTCCAGCTATGAGTAAGGGTCGTTTTAGACATGGTGTTGCAACATTACAAGATAAAATATATTGTTGTGGTGGTGTTAATAATCATGGTTCAGTTGAAGTTTTTGATATTGGAGCTGGAATTTGGAGTGAAGGAACTAGTTTAAGTTGTGAACTTTATGATTTTGGTATTACAACTTGGGGTAAGAATAATTTTTTTTTTTTTGATAATTATATGTTACATGTAATATTTTTCATTGCTTTTTATGATCTTAGATAATTGTATATACGTAATGGGAGGTTCCAATGAAAGTATTGCCGAAAGATATGATCCTAGAGAAGATAAATGGTCTTTATTACCACCAATGCCAGCTAATTTAAATGCATCATTTACAAGATCATTTGCTTTCAATAATTCTGTATACGCTTTTTCATTATCAACTGGTTTTATATTTGATGTTAGAGCTGAAAAATGGATTGAAGATAATGTCTGTTCACCACCTTATAATTGGTAAGAGGATTGTTAATTAATATGTTTTTGAATAAACTGTTTTTAAAATGTTAAAATTTTTTTATTCAAGGAACTTTTTTGATTTAACCGAAATTGATGGAAAAGTTTATGCAATGGGTGAATATTATAGCTGTTATAAGTATTATTATTGTTATACATATGATATTATTACGAATACATGGTTGGATATGGCACAAAAATTACCATCACATGAAGATGTATCGGTTATTACAATGCTAACATAAAATTGCATTTAATATATAATTGTAATACATTTTCTTTCGACATCGTTTAGCAAATTATAATTCATATAACGTATTATTGTGTAATATAGTAACCCTTATTTATTTATACATATATATATATTTTTTTTTTTTTGTTAAAATAAAAATTAATATTTTATTTTTATCAAATTATTTTTGAAAATTTGCATTATGTTCTTGGAATTGTAAATATTAAACTTTTAGATTTTAAGCAGTATAACAATAATAGCATAAGTAAGTATTTTATACATGTTCAAGTTTTTCTAAATGGATATACCTAAAATTTTGTTATATTGAATATGATAAGACATTATAATATGACGACACTTTGCTGAATTTCTACCCTTCTGCCAACTCATGATATTCACGTGATCTCGGAATTAAATCAATCGAGTTACAATTATGTTTTAGCAAACTCACTAAAATTTTAATCACAATTAAAATAAAAATTAATTTTGAATTTATTCAATCAATTGAATTTATTAAAAGCCTTTCAAAATGTTTTGCAATTTCATTATTCATTCTCTAATGAAACATCCATTTTGATTGTCCAAGCATATTTTAAACCATATTTATCCATAAAATTTTTTGGTGGTAATTTAAATAACACTGATGAATCCAGAACGTCCCACTACAATTAAAACGAATAATTACATACATACATGTATAAGATTAATTATATGATTTTATAAAATAAAACTTTTTAAATAACCTTTATTGGAATATTTTCTGGTAAACCCAAAATTGTTACTTCACTTTTTATATCCATATATTTATATACAGATTCTAAATCAATTGTATTTGTATCATATGGATAATTTAAAATCATTGCATATAATATAATTCTATTTTTAATATCTGGATGTGGTTTCATTGTGTACCAGACACCTTCAGTTTTGGTATCATTCTGATATATCCAATATTTTGTAGAATAAATAGCTTCACCATTAATTTTTAACCAAGAACCCATATCACGTAAACGTTCTTCAAAAATTGGTTGAATTGTACCAGATTTTGTTGGACCAACATTAACAAGAACATTTCCATTACAACTAACTGTTGTTACAATTTCTATTACAATTTAAAATAAATTTATAAAGTTAAATATTGATTAAATTTACATAACAAAGTTTTAACCACAAAATGATCACCTTTTATTAATTGTTCAGATGTCATATAATCACTTAATTTTGTATCAAATCTCTGTCCCCAACTAGTTTTATCTAAGGTGAATGCATTTTCCCATTTATGTTCCTTTAAAATTCCTATATACATATGTATTATAAGTAAATAAAAATTTTCAATTAAAGATGTTAAAAATTTTATATCAAAAAAATATATAAATATTACCAGGATTATAACGATCTTGACATGTAAAGAAATCTCCATGTTTACAAAGTACTCCACTACCCCATCTATCATTAGTTACAACTGTATTCCTTACTGGACTTTCATTATATAACCTAAAATTTGGTGACCAGGTAAAATATATATACATGTTTAACAAACTTATGTAGCAATATAAAATTTGAAATGATACCAAGCTAAAAATTCTAATGATTTCCAATAATCAGGTGTTGTTTCCCAATCACCATCCGACCATAAAACATCTGGATGATAACGTTCAATAATTTCTTTCATTTCAGGCCATACTTTATCTTCAACATAAACATTACTTTTAAAACCATTATCCCTATCCATTAAATACATTCTATTAAACCATTCAAAAAGAGAATAATATAATCCAAATGTTAAATTTGTATTTTGTCTTATACTTGATGATAATTCACCTTAAACAAAATAAATTCAATTAATTTTGAAATTTAATAAATCGAAATAATGGACGAACCTATAATATCACGTTTTGGTCCAATATCAATTGAATTCCAACTAAATGATTTTGTTGAAGGCCATAAAGCAAAACCATCATGATGTTTACTTGTTAACACCACATATCTTAAATTTATGGAATGAAAAAATTTTTACTTTTAAAATTGAATTTTCGTTTTACAAAATTTACTTAGCTCCACTATCTTGAAATAATAATGACCATTGTGTTGCATTAAATAATTCAGCAGTAAAATCTTTAGCAAAATCTTGATAAGTAAAATTTGGTTTATAATTTTTTTTCATAAAATCAATGTAGGTTGATACATTTTGTCCTAAAAACAAAAAATGAAATATGAAAATTATTTTGAAATCTAATTTTTGAAAATTAATACCTTTCCAATTTATCCAGAACCATTCGGTACCAAAACTCGGTACCGAATAAACACCCCAATGAATAAAAATGCCTACTTTTGCATTATCATACCAATCTGGTAATGGTCTACTATCTAAACTTTCCCACGTTGGATTATATTTCTTAACTGCATTACAAACATCACATTTTAAAACTATAGATTTCAAATTAAATAGATAATTGAAATATTATTAATAATTAATAAAATTTTAAAAAATAAATTCATTTAAATTAAAATTAAATAATTTTATTCTAAATGTATTTTATATTTCGGAAATTATTGTGTACACAAATTCCAATGTCAAGCAGCTCAATTTTTCATACAAAATAATTGGAACAAAAAAAAAAATTCAATAATTCCCAGTGGGTCTTTTAGTGCAAATTTTGTATATTTAAAGTATGTAGTATATTTACTACAAAACATGTACACAAAATATTTACAAATATACTGCATACAATTAAATAAAAAGAAAATAATAAAAAAATATTTTTACATACTCGTTAATAAAAGAACTATCGCCGTTAATAATTTAAACATTGTGTATTCTAAGGCAATAAGTAAACGACTGAATTTGAATTTAGAAATGAATTTTTAATTAAATGAAAGAAGAGCAACAAGCACTTAGAACAGGAATCATTCAAGTAGTTTTTCACTTCTGATATTTTTAATTTTTAATTTTTATCTTCCTTTTTTTTTCATTCCTTGCTAAATTAATCAAAACATTTACAATTTGTGAACCTCTATATTTATATGTATATATTCAATGGATATGCCAATCTAGTGTACAGGGTGTCCTATATTTGGTGGTGCAAATTTATATCTAGCATTGTCTCTAGTTCTTTTGTCTGGTGTAAAATACCAATTTTCTAAAATTTTATATTCAATTCTATCATTTGTTAGAGATTCATTTCAAATCAGATTTTCTGAATCTTTTGTAAATTTTGGATACCTGCCATATTACATCACCGAAAAAGTACTGTTATTGCTGGAATTCGTTTTTTAAATGGTTTCATGGTATCTGTACTAAAAGTACTACAAATTCTGTTGTGTGGTCATTAAATACCCTACTGTGCCATTTTTTTTAACGCATGTCTAAAAGTACCGTTATACCTAATACAGTAAAAGTTATATACAGAGAGCTTATCTGTTAGACTGGTTGTGATACATGCCTATTGTGGAACAATTGTTACAAAAGAAGATCTACACGGTGGTTCATGTTAATGCACCACTATAGTGTCAACACCCTGTACATGTTTAATTTTACTCTTATATATATGAATATATGCACAATATTATTGTATTTATAATAAAAAATAATGTAATTAATACCATATGATTCTTAATATTGGCAAGCGTATCATGCCGTGTTTAAAAGGCAAATATACATTAATACATACAATATGCGGTTTATCTATAGGTATATACATACATTCAAATTAAAAATGACCAAACGACGTCTTATCTCTTACGTTATCTAAAATTTTAAATTGTTTCTTGTTTATATTATTATATCATATAAACCTCAATATAAATATATATAAATTTATATGTATATATGTATATCATGTTATTAAGTAAAATAACTTTAAACAAAATTCGTAAACACGTAAAAATTGAATTGTTTTTAGAATATTAATACTTGGGGCGTTCTATATTCTCACATTAAAAAATAAAGTTTGTATATTTTTACATTTTCTTTTCACTATATATAGGATCAAGTACAGTTATACTTTTCTGGTTTAAAGATAAATAAACAAAATGCATATCGCCGGTTAAGAAGCAGAAAGCATTAAGTCAGGAAACTGTGTTTTGAGTAAATTCAATTTGAAAAAATCGTAAAATTGGAAAACTAATCAATTAGTGCAATGGGCTTGGGCTCTTTAATTTCTGGATTTATAAACTATATTCTGGATTTGCATGATTTTTTGCCACAACAAAGATTATATTATTCTGATTTAATTCATTTATGAAATCCGAATTTTCAAAAAATGCACTTAGTGCTTTCTGCCTTTTAACCGACGATATAATAAATCTTATATTATATAATTATGCTATTATTAAGCGTAGTATGCCATTTACATTCAAACAATCTTCATTAATTATTATTGACCAGCATAATTTTTGAAATACATACATATGGAGAGTTTGTAAAATTGTAAGAATAATAGTATTAAATAAAGGGGAATTTGAGTATGAGCAATAATATTATGACGAATTTAAAATTACATGCCTACTGCAGTAAATTATGTTAGTACATTACATTTTTCTATACTGGCAGAAAATATAAATTTCATAACATTTATTTTTATATATGTACCCTATTGGTATTACTGCATTATCAACATAATTCAGCAGTCATTAACAACTCATAAACTGAATTGTGTACAAATTTTAAAATTGAGATATTTTAAAAATATTATTCACAATTATTTTTATATATAAAAAATCTTAGCAAACGACTCCAGCATATTTAATATTCATAATATTATATAAATTATTTAATTTTTTGTTTAAAACCAAATTTATAATTTAGCATTATTTAAAACTTCATTAAATGAAATGAAAGGTTCGGTATATGAATGGGCATATCTCAAGTTATTCACTCCTAGGAGGAGCATAGGGCTAATGCATGATATCATGACATAGTTTCATTGCGTCATAGAATTAACTAGGTAGGTGACAAGCCTGCCGTAATTTTTGGTAGTTGAGTATTATAATATTTTAGTTCTGCAACATTTTATATCTTAAATATCAAACTTCTATAATTATAATTAGACTATATCTAAATTTTAAAGATATTAATGTGTAAGAAACACATTAATATATTCAAGTAAACATAAAAATAATTTTAAGTTCAATGAACATTGAATTCTTTTCTATTATTTCGTTAATTATTATATATAAAAATTCTATAGTCAAAATTTTATTTTAAAAAATTTTTAAATTAATAATGGCAATATATATATTTTAAAGTGATATTAATTGAGGTTATTTTATAAAATTAGAATGAAGTCTTTTAGAGTAGTTTGTTTACACTGATAAAAATTTTTTGCAAAATTTGATTATAAGTACCATACTAATAAAAATTTCAATGTATAGAATTTTAAATACAAGTGGTTAAGCATACAAGAATTCAAATTCAAGTGGTATAAGTTCTAAGACAAATTATCTATCTCAATGATTAGGTGGTAAAGAGTAAATTAATCAATATTTTTATACAGTCTTTGAATATATAAGATTTATCCTAATCATTTAATATTCATAGATTATTTTAATTTTCTTAATTTTTGTTCTTAAATTATTCTAATTTAAAATTCTCACTATTTACGTACATAAGAGCAAACATTTGAATAAAAATCTGATTTCAATTTTATTTATTCAGCAATTTCATTTATGTTGCTGAATATGTCATGTTGACTTTAAATTTCAAATAAGGTACATTCATGCATTTTACTGATAAAAATTATGCTTAATTCTTAATATTGAATTTAATATTTGTTATAGTGTAATTAAACCTATAATCAAGATGTGAAATTTGTGGGTGGTATTTAATTAAGAGTACTCGTATTTTATATATCATAATATTGCTTTTGAATTTATTCCTATTTATTTATTTATGAATAGAATTATAGGAAAGAAATTTAATATCTTTAATAAATAGTGACTTTAGCTATTTTTAGCACTTTTCCAAAAATTTTTTGAAAAAAAGTGCTTATTAGTTTCACTCTGTCCGTCCGTCCGTCCGTCCGTCCGTCCGTCCGTCCGTCCGTCCGTCCGTCCGTCCGTCCGTCCGTCTGTCCGTGTGTCTGTTTACAAAACTTCTACATTCTTAAAGATAGAAAGCTGAAATTTAATACGTACATAGATCTTTACTAGAAACTTATTTTCGTAGAACAAAATTTTTACCTATCTCCCCCCCTCTAGAAGTTATACCCCCCCAAAGCACTAAAAATGGCCTATTTTAACTATTTGTTGCAATGAAACCATAAGCATTTTTGAAATTTTGCAAACGCAGAAGGGCAGTGACTTGCTTCCCCTACCGCGGTATACTATAGTTAAACTTTAGAAAAACAAAATGGCCGTTCAAATTTACCGTTATCTAAAGTCCTTTTTTTCCAAATTTTTCATGTCGTTTTTCTTCTAGACCCCAGCCTGTAGAAGCTTGAAATTTTAGGAGCTTTTAGACATTAACAAGTAGTTCATTTCGTTAGAAGAAAATTTTTTTCCATCTCCACCCCCTCTCATGTTATGGCCTCTTGAAATTTGTGAAATATGCATTTTTGACACCTTATATTTCTGAAACCGCAAGTTTTTTCAAATTTCTATAAACGCAAAAAGTTAACAGTAAATTCCATGAAATTAAAAAATATAATTATTTTTCTTAACTCACACAATTAACCCTTAAAATCGAGCATTATGTTAACCCCTGTTTATATTAAATTTTGCTTTATTTCAAAGACTGCATAAATGGTTCATCCTAAATATATGCAATCCTAGAAATAGTTTCGTTTATAAATGAAAATAATTTTAATAGTGTGGTGGATATACATAGACTGTTTTTAAAAGCAATATTTTCACTTGTTTAAGGGAAAAGTGCTACAATACAAACCATTGGTTTGACCCAACTTTATTTAAATAATAATTTCACTATATCCTTTCAGTTAAATTAATAAATTAATCTTTATATTAAAAAAGCAGATTATGTTATACGTATTTAATATATAACCGTTAATATACGAGTATATATATATATATATATAAGTAATATACAGTTGAGGACTCCTTTTTTTTTTGGAAATATTTTTTGTGGGCATATATCAGTATGGCGCAATAATTTATTTCCTATATTTGCAAAATTAAATTTTTAGATCAGCTTCGTAAAACTTCGTATTATAAAATTAAATATTACTCTATGTTTTCTATATCTTGAGCCTGATACCTCATCAGATTTTATCTTTTATCATTCATGATTGTCAAAAAAATTCTGTATTTATAAGTGAAAATCTTCCCATGTAGATAAATATAAATTTGTGTTTTTTTTTGTATAAAGCAGTGATAAGGCTCACAAAAATAAATATTTCGGGTTAAATACATGTTGCACTTAAGCATTATAGACGTTAGGGAGGACAGGAGAAATTACATATGGGTAAAAACTGCTATGAATATAAAAGAGTTTTGTTTAAACATGCGTGTTACAATTAAACGTGTTCGACTGTATGTACGTGAATTATAAATTCAAGTATGACGGTAATTAATTACGATTTTCTAAAAAAAAAAAATGTCTTATTTTAATTTAATTACATTTATCTTTAATTATAGATATACATATGTATGTCAGTACATATCCAAATATATAACTAATATATTTTACATATTCGCAGAATTATATTCTAAAAGTATACAAACTACAGAGCATATATAATACGTTACTCGTGAGCATGAATTCTCTAATATGGTTTAGTCTTAAAGCGAGCGCCGTTTATTAAATATGTCATTAAATAGCGTTTCAATTTTAATTTTATTTTTTATTTATATTAATGTAATATTTAGAAAAAATGTTAATTGTATTAAGGACAACGAAATTCATATAAAATATCAACCAAAATGGGAAAGTTTAGATAAACGTCCATTACCACATTGGTATAGTGATGCAAAAATTGGTATAATTATACATTGGGGAATATATTCGGTACCAAGTCTTGGCGGAGAATGGTTTTGGATTTATTTAAGTAAGTTTAAAAAAACAAAAATTTCTTTAACTTTATTAGAATTTTTTGCATTCACATACACAAATAGAAAAGCGGAATCTGTTAGAAAAGAAAAATTAAAATTTAATTAAATATTTTAAAACTTGAAAAGAAATTTTTCCATTTTTAGAAGAAAATCGAACAGATCATATTGAATTCATGGAAAAAAATTATAAACCAAATTTTAGTTATCAAGATTTTGCTAAAGATTTTACTGCTGAATCATTTAATGCTACCGAATGGTCTTTACTTTTTCAACAAAGTGGTGCTAAGTATTATTATTATTTGAATTTAATTATTATTATATTAATTCTTTTTATTAATTAATATCTTAATTTTATTCAAGATATGTTGTTTTAACAAGTAAACATCATGATGGTTATACTTTGTGGCCGTCTAGCAGGGCTTTTAATTGGAATTCAGTTGATATTGGTCCAAATTTGGATATAATAGGTAAATTAAAATATTATTTTAATGATATTTAGTTAGTATTATTAAATTTAAGGTGAACTTTCTGCGGCAATAAGAAAAAATACAAAATTAAAATTTGGTGTTTATTATTCACTTTTTGAATGGTTTAATCGTATGTACATTAATGATAAAATTCTTTTATTTGGACAAAAAAATTATGTTAAAACAAAAGTTCTACCAGAATTACATGAATTAATAGATCATTATAAACCAGAAATTTTATGGTCAGATGGTGACTGGGAGGCATTCCCAGATTACTGGAATTCAGAAGAATTTTTAGCATGGTGAAAATTGTATCCAAAATAAAATTTTAATTTACCTTAATTTTTTACTACGTTATAGGCTCTATAATGATAGTCCTGTAAAAGATACTGTTGTAACAAATGATAGATGGGGAATAGGTACTCATTGTAAACATGGTGATTTTTATACTTGTGAAGATCGTTATAATCCAGGTTATAAACTTTTAGAAATTTTATGTAAACTTAAAACAAAAAAAAAAAAAATATTTTTGATCATGTACATATAGGTATACTTCAAACACATAAATGGGAAAATGCATTTACATTAGATAAAAATAGTTGGGGTGAAAGAACTGTATCAAATCTAGATGATTATATGACTTCTGAAGAAATTATTAAAGGTAATGAAATTTTTCTATTTAAACTTTATTAAATTAAATTATATGATTTTATTATTAATTTGAAGAAATTGTTACTACTATAAGTTGCAATGGAAATGTTCTTATTAATGTTGGTCCTACAAAATATGGAACAATTAAACCAATTTTTCAAGAGAGATTACGTGATATGGGTTCATGGCTTAAAATAAATGGTGAAGCTATTTATTCTAGTAAATTTTGGATATATCAAAATGACACATTATCTTCAAATGTTTGGTATACAATGAAACAATATCCAAAATCAGATAACAGAACAATTATTTATGCAATGATATTAAATTATCCTTTTGATACAAATTCAATAGAATTAGGTGCATTGCATAATAAAATAGATGATAATACAATGATTAAAGTTCTTGGATTACCTGATGATTTTGAGTTAGAGGTATTTTATTTTATATACGTAATTGAAATTGCTGTACATAACTCGATATTAATATACAATACAAGTCATAAATTGTTTTAGTTATTAAAACTCATGAACTTAATTGTGTATTAATGAAGAATTACAGCAATTTTGGAATTATACATTTACTGAAATAAGATAGTATTAACATTGATTTTAAAAAAATTCTTTGCAGTGGGAAATTCTGGAAAAATCTTTACTGGTAAAATTTCCTCCAAAATCATTTTTAGATAAAAATCAATTAAAATATGCTTATACATTAAAAATTGATATTCCTAAATATTAAGATGGCACTTTTAATAAAATTGAATTTGAATTTAAAAAAGCAAATAAATACATACATAATATGTAAATTTAGTAGATTTCAAAATTATAGTTCCATAGTTCCAATAGATTTTTTTCTACAATAAATGGTTTATTATTATAAATCATCTAAGTAATATTAAATATAAATAGTTATAATGTTAAATAAATAATTAAGATTAATCATTTAAATATATGCACATATAAAATTAAAAAATATATAAACTTCAAAATTTACATAGAAAAACAAGTTAGTGTTTAAAAATTTTTCATATATTTCCTTGAAATAATAATTTATAATATTATGTACTATAATTTAAAAAAATTTTATATAAACTTAAAAATTAAATTGTATTTTTTCTCGAATTCATTTAATTTAACTTTTTTCTTAATATATTAAATACATAACTAAAATTTTATGGTATATTAATAATTTATATTACGAAAAAAAAAAAAAAAATTAATTAATGAAAATTCTGTTGTTTTACAAAATATTTGGTAATATAAAATGGCTTATTTTCAACTTATATTATATTAATAAAATATGGCTGTAGCATAATTATTTATTTTAAAAATTTACTAAAATATAAAATGTTTATTTTTTCTCTAATAATTATAACATTATTATGGCCGGATTTAATATATTGGGTTTAAATGTTAAAATATAATGTATGTATTATGATTTAATAGGATTCAGAGCTATTGAGTTATGAGTAGTTGTGTCCAGTCTATTGCTTTTTATTAGTTTATATGAGTAATTTTACTATTTCCTTAGGCAAAATGTATGTCTGTATTGTATAGTATCAGAGTTAGGTATAGCAGCTTATTAATATATATATAAAAAAAAGATATCATTAAAATTATGTAAAGAGAGCATTCAAAATCTAATAATTATTCAATATTATTATGTTTTTAAATTATTTTCATATATGAATGATCTTCATCTGCTGTTCGAAATTGTTGTAAATAATCTGATATTCTTAATTTCATATTTTCAGTTTTCGATAAAATTAAATTACGATATTTAATTGGAATGTACTCTACGACTTTTTCAACAATTTCAAGATTTTTTGCTGTTATTACATATATGGCAAATATATTCAATGCCAATAAAAAGAAAAATACGAAAATTGTTTTTAAAGCTGTATTCGAATTTCTTTTCGACTTATTGTAATGCTTCTCATGTACATAATTGTTTTTGGTATTCTTCTTTGTATTATTTGAATTATCCTTTAATAATTCATTATCAGATAATTTTGATTTTTTTGATTTACCCTTTTTCTTTTTTTTCTTCGATAATTCACTTTTACTTTTTTGATCTTCAATTGATTCTATTTTAGCCTCATTTTCTTGTTGTAATTTTTGTTTAGCATTTTCAAATTCAATTTGCATACGTTTCAAGAATTTAACCTAGAAATAGAAAATTTAGGTTCAAATATATATAACAGTACAAAACTAATGTTGTATATTAAAATTTACAGTGTTTTTGGCAGCTTCATTACAGTCTTTGGTTGTTAAGCATGGTCCAACAATTTTCCCCAAAGCGGGATTTAAAGGATTAGCTTTTAAGTCCAAGTATCTAAAAAAACAAATTAATTCATTAATCAAAATATTTAATATAACTATATTTTATTTGAACCTTAAATTATTTAAATTTCCGAAACTAAGAGGTAAATGCTCTAAACGGTTATTGTACAAGTCTAAATGCCGAAGATTTCTAAAACTGCCAAAATCATCAGGTAAAAATTTTATTAAATTTTTACTCAAATCCAGTTTAACAATATGCGAAAGTAATCCAATGTTTTTCTAAAATATAAATCTTATTTATAAATTAATTAAACTTATTTCAAAAAATTCTTTATTACCCCAAGGGACACTATTTTATTATTCGATAGATCTACATTTGTAACCCTTTTAAATGACGCCTGAAATAATGAAATCAATTATCCGGAAATTCTATTATTTTTATATATATGTAAAAATATTGAAATAAAAGTTAAAAATCAAAAATTGTGGTTAATTCTTTGTAATTTAAAATTTAGTTTTGCTAAATAAAATAAAATCAGATCAAACAATCTTTTGAAGTATTTCTTTCTTCTTCACAATTCACTTACAATATCTTTAGCTGGTACTTCCGTCAGTTCTGATAAACTTAAATCAATGGTGTTATCTTCAACCCGATCTTTTATATTTATTTTGTGCTTCGGCATTTTTTTATAATTAATATTAAAATTAAATAAAATTTACTAATAATTACATTGTTTTAGTAAATAAGTTCTTTTATCTTATTTTGCGGCCTTTTTTGAAGGATAGTGGCGTCAAGTTTAAGGTCAAGGCCGGGAATTTATTATTGCCATATATAAGAAAAATATTTTAGCTGAATTAAATTATTTGATATTAACAATAAAATTCTTATAGAACATATTGAATTTTTAATTATATTGATAAGAAAAGAATTATATATATTGGGAAAATATTTAAATAAAGGAAATTGGTAATAAAAAGTTGTCAAGTAATTAAAAATTCAGTTATTATCTAAAATAAAAAAGCCAAATTAAAATTTACTAATTTTAAATTAAAAAGGTATGTTGGCAATACTATAGTGTTTGACAAAAATCAAATTCGCTTTCATTTGAACTAATAGGCCAGTTTACATATTTGACATCATCCCTTTTTTATTTGAACATATGGTATTGTTTACTAGAAATTCACAATAGTCAATTAAGAAACATGAAAAATATTTTCTCTTTTAAAGCAATTTTCAAATAATTATTTAATTTAAGTATTTATTAAGTAACGTTATCAAACTAGTCTAAAAATATATATCAATATACATAGATGAATACCACATATTACGTGAATTTTATTATTATTTTTATCTTATGCACGTATTTTTATGCCATATGTTCTTTATGAGGCTATGATTTAAATTGTATATGTAGCTTCATAATTTTTCACCTTATTTCTATGTTCTTTATAAGTTGCTTAATTATTGTTGGTAAAGCAAGTAAGTCAAGGAATTAGAAACAGTAACTTTTTACAAGATCATAGGATACAAGCCCCAATAAATGTATGTACATTAGAGTAATAATAATAAAAATATACATACATATTTTTTCTCGTACTCAATATAAATTATTTGAAATGATAGTTTTAATTAATTTGTGTGTTTACAGGACAATTCTCAATCATTAGAATGAAACAATGAATTTTCATACGAACTTTCAAATATTTCAAAAACAGATTTATTTGGAGTTATTGCATTAGAGTTCTTCATTTACATTTACAAGAAAAAAAGTAAAACAAGAATAAAAAATGGAAGAGCATGTTATTTTGCTGTCAAAATAAAAAAAACTTAACCTAATTTCATTATTTACATGTTTTGAAAGTTTACTTCATGGAATAAAAAATTGTTCGCAATTGAAATTCTAAAATTTAAAGAAATTAATTTTTTGATTTAAATTAAAAAATAAAATATGGCTTTGAAAAGACTAAAAGGTAAAATCAAGATTATTTTAAACTATTATAGTTGATGAAACAAAAATTTTGTTTTTAGGTAAAGCTTCTAAACGAATGACATGTCGACAAAAATATAAAATTTTAAAAAAGATTAGAGAACATAAAAGAAAAGTAAGACGAGAAGAAAAAAAACATCCGAAAAAAAGCAAGAAGCAAAAATTAGTGCAAATACCTAACGAATGTCCATTTAAAGAGTCTATTTTAAAAGAAGTGGAAGCTATTAAAGAAAGGGAAAGAGAAGTTCGTATTCAACAAAAGATAATGAGGACGAAAGCAAATGCTGCATCAAAAGAAACAAATGAACCAATTGAAGTTGATCAAAATGTAGAAGAAATCGAAGACTTTTTTGAGAGTAATCAAGAAAGTTCTACCGTAAGTTTTTATACAGTATTTTGATTTAATTTATAAAGTAAAATGTGCAAGTTCTTCTGAAGATGTAAAAACAAAATATCTTTATTCCATTCTGCTAAACGCAGTATGCAATAAAATAACTGAAGCGGATTACGAATATTTTTGTATCAGATATAAAGATTTATCGCAAAATATTTAGAGAAAATTAAATTGCAAATATTTTTTTTAGGCGAAGAAGACGCAGAATCAAAAAGGTAAAAAGTTCAAAAAGAAAAAGCCTAAAAACACTGAAATCGAAAAGGCCGGTAGCAGAACTAAAAAGAATAAAGTAACATCTGAATCTGTTAGTTCATTATTAAAAGCTTTATGAGAATTATAGTTTTAATTTTGACTTGTGTTTCATATAAAATTTAAAAATAAGGTAAACCTCTAATATGTTTATTTTAACAAAAATATAAGAGATATGTGAAATTATTCAATTAATGAATTCTTTACTTCATAACTAATAAATATGGAATTGTTTTCAATAAATATAGTATGTACCTAACTAATTACTTATTTACTTTATTAATTTAAACAAATCAAACAAAACCCTAGATCTAGTCAAATATTTTAAAATTCCTGTATTTAAGACCTGAATAAAAAATTAATCAGACCTGAATTAGAGATTGTAAAAGTCTAAATCCTTACTATATTATTTTGGTACGAGAGGTGATTAATCTTTTATTATTTGTATACGTTAGCCTCTTATTCAAAACAAAATTATTACATATTTATATACAAAAGGAGGCAATTGCAATAGCAATTTCTAAACTAAGAAATATTTTAAGAGAAAACAATATGTACATATTTCCTACAATAGTGTTTTCAAAAAACACATAAATTGTTTCAGCAAATTACAATCTGTTGTTTTATGAAGAATGAAATATCTTTTTAAAGCAGATTTAATCCAGATGCGGGACCAGCGAGCTATTACATGCAGAGACCACAAATAAAAATCACAATTTCAACAAAGTTAAGTACCTGTTTACTTAACATGAAATTAAAACTTTTTAATCTTACACAAAATGTCCTGCCTTGATTTGATGCAACATCTGAGCCAGAATTAGAAGTTTCCATCTTTAATATTAAGCAACAAAATTAGAATAGAAAACTACCAAAAGAGCTATTTTCAAGTAACAGAAATATGAGCTCTGGGGTCTGGAGTCATACAAAAACTTGTTTTTTTTTAATGGGAAATTCTAAAAACTTAATGCGTGTAATGTTTCTTTATTTTTAAAAGAAAACTGGAAATAACTTTGTTCATCTGTTCAAAATTTGGAATGTATAATTGTCCAAAAATATGTTTGCTGTTTATAGAGAAATTTAAATGAAATTTAAATCTGTTTCATCTCATTCACACATTTTTGAATTACATACGTCAATAGGCAATGTCAAATTCAATATAGGAAGTGAAAAGCTAGCCTAATGACAATAATGACATCAACATCATATTTGTTTAGATTTACATGTGTATATTTTGTTTATAAACAGTAAACACATTTTCTAAAAAAATATAAATAATTATGGCGAAAACACAAAATCGAACACAAAATAATAATAAAAAAAGTTTTAAAGATAAAAAATGGACAACAAAAAAAAACAGTTTTAAATCTGATAATAAAAAGCAAAACCAGGTGGTAGTTTGATAAAAGAAAATAATAGAATTGCCTTTATTAGCCAAAAACTTTTCTATTACAGAAAAACAAAGAGAAGATTAATTATCAAGAAAAAAGGAAATTTGAGTTGGAAGAAATTAAAAAAGCTAAAGAAGAAAGAATTAAACTTCAAAAAGCAAAGAAATTAGAAAGAAATAAAATGATTAGCAAAAAAACTAAAAGAGGACAACCTGTAATGAAAGACCGAATTGAATATTTACTGAAAAAAATTGAAGCATCTAGATCCTAATAAAAAATTTGCTAATGCTAAAGTTAATTATTAAGTATTAATAAGAAATATAGAAAATTTGTTAATAAAATTGGAAGCTTTTAAGATACGTAAATATTTCAACGATTAAAATCAGTTGTTAACCGTAAAGTTAAGGTCAGTTATTGGACAAAAGTGAGTAGAATTAACAAGTGCTTTTTTGGTTAGGTCAATGTATTTTTAGGAGTTTTATGTATTTATTAAACGATAACCAATAGAAAACTTAAACTAAAGAAAAATCCAAAAAAAAATGTTTGTGCTTACAAAGTGGAAAAACTGAAAAATTTACATTTTTGTATAAAAGTTTTAGTAATAGAGAACAGTTTGGGATATTCATAACTGAGTAATTTTTTAAAAGTTGAGCATAAAACATGATTAATTGAACAGATTCCACAATAGAATTTTTTTGATAGATTACAATATCCTAATATTTTTCAGGACTTATGACAAGAGAAACTAAATTTTGAAAATTAATAATTAAGCATTTAAATATCTTATTATATTTAAATTAGATTCCATCCATGAACTCTGAACTTTTACCAATATTGTTTATAACAAGTCACACATACATTTTTATAAAAACTTTATAGAAATTGAGTTTAATTATGCTTGAATATATGACCACGAATTGGCGAATTACACAAGCGTTACACTAAATGTGCCTTAAGTTGAAAAGAGAACAAGAACGATACTCCAAGGCGACATGTCAAAATTCATATAAAATATTATATACATAATCAAAAGGACTGCAAAAATTAAGGGAATTTAACCGACGGCGGTAAAATAGCCTAAACTCTTATACTACCGTAAGCAAGTTTTTTTTGACATCGATTTCATCTACGTATGACTTTTACATATAAAATATTGTATAGTTGATTTTACCGTTCCACTGTTGGAAAATGGAATTCATTTTCCGTTGCCGTTCACCGTTTTGATCCTGTTTTTACACTTAATATGAAACTTTTGACAGTATTGTTTTAAATATTTTAAAACAACAACTTTGATGATAATCAGATAGATTCCTATTTTTCCCATCAGATACAATACGATGTCAGATTCCAATTGCACATTAAATTTTGAATTAAAAATTTCAAATTTAAACTGATATATAAAATATTTTCATAGATTATTTCGTGTGTACAGTACACTTTTTTGTTTTGCAGATTTGTTGTTTTGAACTGAATAAATTTAATCTTGAATTTAAGAGGGTAATTTGTGATATCTAAGGCTGATAAACAGGAAAATCGTTGTGAATTTTGGTATTGGCAATCAAGTCACTCCATATAATAATTCTTTTTCAAGTACATGGTAGGTACCCAGTTGCTGTGCTATTAAATTGCCACTCGAGTTTGGTAGCAAGTGTTGATTTACATTTGTTGCAATTGATTTCGTAATTTTGCTCCTGCGATTACTGCCAAAACAGACAACATAGTTGCCTGAACTTTTGGGGGAATTGATTTGGGGTAAAAATTTAATAATAAATTGCTATAATTAATTATTTGAAGTGATTTGCGAAAATCGTGCCAATATAAACATTGCAGAATTCAAACTGTCATTTTGGGTTGACAAGAGTAGTGGTCGAAAGTTAGTTACCTATCTGTTTGATACTTTTTGATACATAATAGAGTTAGCAATTTCATATTTAATATTGTAGTGCTACCGGTAAAATAAGTAGATGTATCATGAGTAACAAAATTGATATTGAAGATATAGCTAAATTATTCAAGAGCGAATTCAATACTTTTAAACAAGAACTAAAGATTTAATTAAACAAATCTATTGAAGAACGCTTGCAAAAAAATAAGGAAGAAATTGTAAAGGAGGTTAGCAAAAGTCTTGAGCAAGCCAACAATAAAATAGAAGAATTGAAGCTGGAAGTTGCCACTTTGAAAGCAAACCTGGAAGAAACAGTAAAAGAGAAAGAAACGGAGAAAGAACTAAACGAGATCAAATCACGCAGAAACAATATAATCATTGGGAATATAAAGGAGCAAGTAGGAGAAAACGTGCCGGAGGTAGTAATTTCATTTTTTAAAGACACGCTTAAAGTTCCTACAACGGTTGCTGACTTGAATTACGCCAAACGTTTAGGACGTCAAAGCAATAGTGCTGAGAAAAGCAGACCTATTCTCGCCAGTTTCGTATCATTGTTGCAAAAACAGAAAATACTTGACAACAAGAAACTGATAGAAGGAAGTCTGTATTACATCAAAGGCGATTAACACATACAAACAAAGAACCAAACGTGCTGAACTGATAAAAGTTAAAAAGAACTTAGAGCAAGAAGGTAAAAAGGTGGATTTGAGACAAGGCAAACTCATTGTAGAAGCATTATCTGGAGCTGGTTCTAGAACAACACAAAACGTAGATATACAAAAGAGAAACAGGTCTTCTAACGATTCTGAATTCCCGGAAGCTGAGCTTAAAAAACAAAAAAACAAAAAAGACAAATTATTAAGGTCGAATAAAACAGATAAAGTAATAAATCTAAGCGAAGTTTTTAAGGATACATAGTTGATTGTATATATTATATTATTACCGTACCGCAAATAACTCGGCCTGACCTTGGATTTTGATTTTGATTAAATAATAATAGGAGATGAGGAAGGCAACGGGAAACCACCTCATCAGTTCTTTCCCTAGTATAATATCATCGAAAAATAGTAACAACATCGAGCAACACGCAAACGCCGTTAATTTGAATAACAACACAAACAGCAAGTCATTGAACAATGAAGCAGCAATCTACAAAAATAATGAAATTAGAATAGCTACCTGGAATGTTAGGGGTTTGTTACAAGCTGGAAAAGTTGAAAACCTTGAACAAGAGAAGAAGAGAATGGAGATAGACGTCCTTGGAATAAGTGAAACTCACTGGATTGATTGTAGTGAATTTAACACCTCAGAAAATTTTGTTATATATTCTGGTTCTACACATAGTAACAATCACAGAAATGGAGTAGGTTTTTTTGTCTCATCAAAACTGAAAGCAATGATAACTACATCGATTCAAACATCAGACAGAATTATGCTCATTCAACTTAAGGCCAAAAATAACATGTTGAATCTTATTCAGGTTTACGCACCAACTTCTGATAGCACCATCGATGAGTGTAATGAATTTTATAACGAGTTAGAAGCTACGCTTAGTATTTTGAAAAAAGAAGATACAACAATCATTATGGGGGACTTTAATGCAAAAGTTGGAAGCGGTGAAGTTGAAAATACTGTTGGAAAATTTGGTCTTGGTAAGAGAAACGAACGTGGCGACAAGTTGGTAGAATTCAGTATTGATAATGATTTTGTAATAACCAATACCTGGTTCAAATTACCACCCAGAAGATTATACACATGGACATCACCTAAAAGTTCTTCAAAGTCAATAATAAAAAACCAAATAGACTATATTTTGGTCAACAGACGATTTAGAAACGCCATCAAAAATGCTAAAACCTACCCTGGAGCAGATGTTAATTCGGATCACAATCCAGTGGTTGCCAATCTGAAAATAGTATTCAAAAAATGTCCCAAAAAAAGTGACAATGTCAAGCTGAATCTCCATCGTCTAAATAATCCGGATGTGAGAAAAACCTATGCCGAAAAGCTCAACAGTGACTTGTATTCAAATAGGTTTACTATCAATAGCCAAGTGAATGTGGATGATCAGTGGAGCCAATTCAAAAGACCTTTTAATAGTGTATTATCCGATTTATCAAAAAGAGAAACATATAAAGCCAGGAAAGCTTGGATGTCTGAAGAAATTCTCCGGTTAATGGAGAAAAGAAGAAAATATAAGGCAATTGATGAGTATAAATTTAAATTAATAAATAAAGATATAAAGTATAAAATAAGATTAGCGAAACAAAAATATTGGGAGATGCAATGTACTGAGATAGAAAACTTAGACAAGCAGCACAACCTCTTGCAACTTCACAAAAAAATAAAACAGGTCACACGGATTAGTAAGAAGAATAATTGTGGAAATCTAAAAGATAAAAATGGATCTATAATATTTGACCCCGAAGACAGGCTCAAAAGATGGGAAGAGTATGTGGAGGATCTATTTGATGACGTTAGAGTTTGTACACCAGATCCATTGGAAGCAAGTGGTCCAGTTATAATTAAGTCTGAAGTCCAGGCAGCAATCAACCAGTCAAAAAATAGATTAGCAAATGGCCCAGACAACATTCCAAACGAACTGTATAAGCTGTTAGATGATAATAGAATAGAACAAATGACTGCACTATTCAACAGAATATACAATGAAGGAAAAATTCCTCAAGAATGGTTGAACTCTATTTTTACTACATTGCCGAAGAAAAGTAGAGCTTCAAAATGCAGTGACTATCGCACTATCAGCCTTATGAACCACTCAATCAAGCTATTCCTTAAAATCATTCTCAAAAGGATATTCAGCAAACTGGAAATAGACATTAAGGAAACTCAGTTTGGTTTTAGAAACGGGCTTGGCACCAGAGATGCTCTTTTTGTGGTGAATACACTGATCCAGAGATGCAGAGACTCTAATGTGGAGGTACATGCATGTTTCATTGACTTTGAAAAAGCTTTCGATAAGGTAAAGCATGACAAACTCTTCGAAATTCTAGAAAGTAAAAACATAGATAGCAAAGACATCAGAATAATTAAAAATCTGTATTGGAATCAAACTGCACAAATAAGAACAAATGATGGGATCTCACAAAAAGTTGAGATAAAAAGAGGAGTACGTCAGGGATGTATCTTGTCACCTTTGCTATTTAATGCATACCCTGAGGCAATATTTGATGAGGCGTTGGAAGAAATGGAATTTGGAATAAAAGTCAATGGCGAAATAATCAATAACGTGAGATACGCAGATGATGCTATTATTGTTGCAGACAACGCAGAGGACTTGCAGCTTATGATGATGTCGTTGAGTGATTGCGCAGAAAAATATGGGTTAAAAATGAATTTAGACAAAACCAAATACATGGTGCTGGGTAAAAATCCGTCAGCAAGGCATAGTCTTAGGATTCACGGTCGAGTGATCGAAAGGATAAATAGAACCAAGTACCTGGGATCGACCATAGTAGCTGATGTCACCAATTTCGCAGAAATTTCGAGCAGAATTGAAATTGCAAGGGCAACTTTCAACAAAATGAGAAATCTTTTCTGTAGGGGTGAAATTGGTCTTGACATAAGAAAGAGGATGTTGAAATGCTACGTGTGGCCAGTCCTACTATATGGAGCCGAAACGTGGACAATCAATAAGGCAATCCAGAAAAAAATCGACGCATTCGAGATGTGGACCTACAGGCGTATGCTGCGAATCAAATGGACAGACCGGATCAGTAACGTTGAAGTTCTGAGACGTATGAAGGTGAAGAAACAGTTACTTAACACCATTAAAATTAAGAAATTGAGTTACTTGGGACATATCATGCGCAACAACAAATACAGACTTCTCCAACTTGTACTGCAGGGCAAAATAATCGGCACAAAGACCAGAGGGAGAAAACGAAAATCATGGTTAAAAAATCTTGAAGAGTGGTTTGACTGTTCCAGCACTACATTGTTTAGAGATGTTTGTTCAAGATCTACCGTCAAAACGATGATAGCCAACCTCCATAATGGCGAGGCACTCTAAGAAGAAGAATATAAAATATACCTAATAGGCATCTCAATAAAATCAGGCTGACTCATTTTACCAATCTAGCTTGACATAATAAAAAAACGTCAAAATAACATTTAAATCGCTACTTACATCAAATATTTTTTAATTTTGAAAGTATAGTTTATGGTAACACTCTCAATAAAAATGTCAAAATACAATTGAGTTCAATTCAATTTCAATTGCTTTCAATTAATTTTGTATGTATGTGATAATGTAATATGATTTTTTGCTAGACATTTTGACAACAAAATACAAAATACGAGTATGATACATATTTAATTTCAATTTCAATATTCATTCAAATTGAAATGCTAATATGCTGCGCTGGTACTCGTTTTCTTGCTAGTTGCTTTAGATTGCTTTAGTATATTTTCAATTCTCTGTTTCATTTTACAATTAGTTGAGTCGAGAAAAGGAAAGGTATTTGTTACGGTCGGAGATATAAAGCGATTTTTTTTTTTTTTTATAAAAAAAATATTTTGAAATTAAATATTGCAAAATATCTACTTATAGTTATGCACATATAAAAAATTATTTTCGCTATATAAACAAAGAAATATATTGCGTATTTTGTTTATGTATAAAATATAAAAAAGGAAAATTAAAGTTTCAATCAATAATATTGTTATGAGAATAATGGAAAAAGCCTAATGATTACTGCAAACATACACACAATTATATACATACATACATACATATATGAAGTGTTTATCCAAAAATAAAAAGTGATTTTTTATCTAAAATAGCTCTTATTTATATTGAATTCAAATAATTAATTTATTAAAATATTAAAATAAATTATGAAGAGTGTTTAAAAATATTTAAAAAGATTGTGTAACGCAATTGTGAATGAACAAAGAGTTATTAGTGATTACATTTAATTTTATTATTTAGTGGGAAAGAAATAAAAAATTTGATTTTAAAATCAGAAAAATTTCCAAACATAATTGTATAGTGATTTTTTTTTTCAAGAAGCAAGCAGAATTACTATTAATTTATTTGCTCATAATTAATAATATATATGTACATATATTAAAATTAAAAAATAATATTTATAATCTCCAAAAATAAATAAATTGTGAAATTTAATAACAGTTTGGATAAAAAAATATTCATAATATTCTTAACGCAAAATGTAAGTAAATTTTAAAGAATTTCAATACTTATTTCTTTGAAAAAGCTATACTTTATAATTTTATTATTTATATGAATCTATGTGTATATATATTCTACATCTCCCTCTCATTCACATTATATGAATTTGTGGTACACATATACATATATATAAAAAAATATAGATATGTTTGTATAATTAATAAATAAAATATAAATTTATGTAGGTACATCTGATCTTATGTCAGGTGTAGGAAACCTGCAACTTCATTGTTATATAAATATTGTTATATATAGAGAAATGTTAAAAAATTAATGAAAATTACAAAAGAAAAATACTTGAAGCAAGATAAGAAGAAACTTAATAAAATTTTTTTTTTTTTTCTAAATTATCCTTAAATTTGGATTCTCGTATTGATATAATGTTACAACAATTTTGATGTTATAACAGTATGTACACTGTATTGCATGTACTTGTTTAGGTATATACATGTAAGTATATAGTAAACTAACTAATGTAAGTAAAATAATTTTTATGAGTAATTTCAATTTAGATAGGATATTAATGTTGATACGATCCACGATAAGATTTATAAAAAAAAAAAATGGAGCTATTTCCTTTCCTAATAAGTATTTAGGTAAGTGTAACGTAGGTATCTATACCTACTTTGTTCGTTTGAAAGAAGTTATAATCCTACCGCGTCGCTAGTTAAAATCCGCATTTTTATAATATTCTTATGATTAGTTAGAATACTTAACTAGCATAACTTAGTTAGCATTCTTACTGTCCACTTATAATAAGCGACAAGCTTGCATTGTACGTAAGTACGAGTACCACTATAACGAAAGTTATTGACAAGCAAATTAAGTAACAATTATGTAGGAAGGGTGGGTCTCGAGGGTGGTGTTGTAGTGTTTCGTCCAACACCTGGTTGGGGGGCACAATAGATCTAAATTTTGTAGTCGTGGTGCCCTGTTACCCTTCTTTGCAATCTGCAAAGAATATCGTCCTCATATTTTGAGGGCAAGTATAATACCCTTTTATTTTAATTTCTACGGTATAATTGGTTTTACAGTAATATTAGTATAGCAATTTGGATTTCAAGTGTTCGACAATGATTTTTTAAAGCTACAAGTATTCATTTTATATTTTCATGCATGAGATAAGTAAATCAAAGTATGTACTTCTCGTTTTTCAAATATTTAACTAATTCAAAAAAATTGCTCATCTGTAAGTAAATTTTTGTTTTTGGTCTAGTGCTAGCGGATTGTCATGACCTGAATATTTATTTTGTAAGTTATTTTAAAAATATTTTTCTCAAATACCGGTTCTATTGTCTTATATAGAAAACATTTAAGTAAAATGTTAAATTTCATTAGAATGGTTTGTAAGAAAAATTTGCAAATATTTTTATTTTTATATTTATTATCTATATATAATTATTTATTATTTTAACAATATTAATATTTATTTGTATAAAGTGTCTATCGTAAAAATACGTATTTAATATACTTACATTTAAGATAGATGTAAAATTGCTTATTTAAGTGTATATAAGTAAGTATACCGTATTGAACAAAAATTCAAGGTGTAAATGATTGAATATTCAATTAAGGTGTGAATATATTTATAAGGGTAAGAATATATATAAAATTCATAGGTAGGTATGTAAATATGTAGATGATTGAGTAAATATTAATTTTTATGTTATTTATGTATACGTCTACGATTTTTATTTAATAGATACCTGTTGATAAAAAATAAGTAATAAATAATAATTTTTGGGTGTAAAACGTATACGTCTGCATTTGTATATTGAATTCGTCTGGGTATCTACTTCAAAAAAGTATTGTATATTAGAATGAAGTTAATTTAATTTGGTATACATATATGTGAATGGATATTAAACTACATAAGTAGTATGCCCTAATTGTAAATATACATACATACATTGGCATATCTTCTTTTTATTGAATATTTTAAAAACATATGAGGTGTAGAATTTTTTCAATAATTTGTTCTTATATCTGGAGACTATTATTTTGTTGATTTAAAAAATTTATCGCAAATATTAACACATTAATCCAGATTCTGGTATTCGTATCGCATATAAATATCACATGAAGCGATACCATCGCGTCTAAATCTAATTCTACTGGTCATAAACTTGATAGTTGAAATGTCATAAGTTTTGATCGCAAATGTCAAATTCACCATTCATTTCTATAAAACTTTTCATGCGACGTAATGATAATTTTTTATCACCTTTAAGGTCTTTTAGTTTTAATGTATAAAGAAAATGAAAAATTCGGCAAAGTTAGTAGGTTTCTTAAGTAAAATTTTGAAATCGTTTTCTTGAAATCCTGGAATAGATTGTAAATATATATAGTGTTATGCATTTAAATATTAAAGTTATATAACACATTAAGTAATTAATCAGCAATGCAAGTATACTAAATCATCAAATTATTAAATACTTAATTCTCGTTTTATAACACAAATAATACATAATTTCGCTCAATTTATATATATAAGTAGGTAGTATCTAAATAAATAAGTAATTCAAGAAATTTTTTTAAATTTAATAAGTATTTAAATTCTGTTTTGGCACGCAAAATACTCTCCATTTTAAAATAGAACCCAAAAAAGTGAATTATTTAGTAAGACTCAAATTTATATTTATTGAGATTTATAATAGAATCCCACATATTTGAACAATATTTTCGCTAAATTAGTAAGTACTTAAGAATAAATTTAAGTATTCTAGAGTTTTTATATGTTATTAAGAAAATACTCAATGCCGTCGGGAATACTCAAAATTCTGATCGAATCCCGTTTTTTTTTTCGATGTTAAATAGAAATATTATAGTCTATGCAATTAATATTATACTCATTTTTTCAATTAAAATAAAAATAGTTTAATAGAATTTAAGAGTGTTACTCTCTTAAAATTTAATAATTACTCTTACTTTAACTATACTTATTTAAAATGGTGATTTATTATACTTACTTACCATATTCTTTACTTCCACTCAAAGACAATTTTATAAAATCTCATTTACTTACTTGTATTTCTATTATTTTTTTTTTTTAGATTACAGATTTGTCATGTAATTGTAACTGTAACTGTTTCCTATTTAACCATTATTCTCCATACTTGTGTATAGTTTTTTTCACTTACATAATGTAAGTCTGTTATTTTGTATTGTTTTCTAAGTTGTCAAAGTTGTTTTTATCAATTGAATATTCAGAGTTGAATTCAACTTTTACTCAACTCTTATGGTACTCGTAAATATATATTACATGTGTGTATAACTGCTAAAAGGGTTTAAATATAATTTTAAAAAGAGTTCTTATCATTCAAATCCCCCTTACCTGTCCTTATTTTATAATCTTTATTTCTCTTTTTTTTTTTTTGAAATATGGAAATTTCATTATACTGCAACTCTCTTACCATTTTTCTTGTTTTTCTTTTTGGAATTATATAATTTGCTGTTTTAGCTATTTGACCTACTAAGAATGCTTAAGGAATTATTATTTAAAGGATAAGTATATAAGAAATAAAAAATGCTAAAAGGTAAAAATAATAAAATAATATAAAAAAAAATTGTATTTCCTAAGCGCCATCATATGTGAAAGTAAAAAAATTTGTTGTAGCTATTTTTGCTGTTTTTTTTTTTTTATTTTTTATGAAGTTAAGCATAATATGCAATTATTTAAGATTTTGTTTAACAACTTTATATAACTAACATATTATACTTATTTAATCTAAAAAAAAAAAAAAGTTGAGAAAGGTGTCAAAAAATTAGGTTAATGACATCGTGTATACCATTAGTGAATATGTATAACAAAAATTATATTTAGTATACGTACAGTACATTTATGTTACTCATGATCACATATGAAGATTTTTTTCTATACATCTACTTACTTATTTTAAATAAAAATTTTAATAATTTATATATTATTTGCATGTAAGTATATATAATGTTGGTGTTTGTAGTCAGTCACTCGAAATTAGTACAATATGTACATTTGTCTTAAATATTCATACTTACATATTTTCATTTAAGTTTTATTCTAAATACATAAATGCATATACTTTCAAATTCCATTACATTTAACCCATACAGAATCATTCAAATGTGATTTGCTTACTCAAAGATTTAGATATTCTAATTTTTTTTAAACATTTCTTAAGAATTATATTAAAGAAATGAAAGAAAATTAATTAATTAAGTTGTCAAAGAAAATATTCATTTGCTTTCTTTTGAAGTACTTAAAATGTACTTGCAAAGAATCTAAATTTCTTTTATATAATTAATACGAACATTACGTAAGTAATAAGTATGTTAAAGTATTTGTACGAACATATTCTGGTGGGACTTTGATGTAACTTATTTTTGTTTTTATCTACAGAATTTTTGATAGTTATTTCTGGTGTTTACACACGGTCGTAATTTATATGTTGCGACTTCTTTGCTGAACTGTTATACATTCCAAAAAACTGTTACACATCTTTCTCAATGATAAAAGAAAAATCTGTTTACGGAACTGTGATTTACAAGTTTAAATAAAATTGAAATTTTAATTTTCAAAAAGATTTTGTTTTGTGTCAAAATGGTTGTATGCGACAAAATATTTTCAAATGAATTTTTACATACACACACATAAGTATACTTATAAAGTTGCAACTGTAAGTATATTATATAGCACAATTTAAATGCCATGAAAATTTTTACAATACACATTATTCAATTTCAATTGCAACATTGTGTAAACATAGCCCTATACATAATTTTTAAATTGTCAAATTTTTTGAAATATTAAAAATTTTTAAATAATTTTTAATTTAAATCAATTGATTGTTTTTTTTTCGAAAATTTTTTATATTTTGATTTTCATATGTTTATGACAACCAGGCCTTTATCTCTGCATGAGGGAGCTCATATGTTAAACAGATCTGTGTCAGAGTTAATGCTTACTTACCTGTATATTTATTTCTTACCTCTATTTATGAG